AATACTGTAGAAAAAGATAACAATCCAAAATTTCAACACCACATACGCCAAAATATTTACCAGGTCCAGGAGAAATCAATACCCCTCTTGGATTTTTTCTGTAAGAGGGAGAGCATATTATAGGAATCAACACCAGTTGATTAGCCAGATTACGTTTTAAAACAGAATGCACATAGTTTCCTCTTACCTTCTCAGCTCCTCTACTGTAAGTTCATCATTGCGGTAAACTTCGAAATGGCATCCTAGCTCTCCCATATACTGTAGAAAAATATAACACTTCAAAATTTTGTTTATACTAAAGCAGAAGAAACCATATCAAGAGAACAATCACGATATATAGTATGCACCTCACACGATTCTGCGTGGAGAACTAGAAGTAAGACATGATGAAATTGTATATTTGGGATATATGTGCGTTATGTGAGATATTTAGAGCAGCCAAAATTTCATGAAAAAGCGAGATATTCAAACTACGAATAACCAATCTAATGTCAAAAATTGCAACTCACAAAAACACCAATTCAAACTTTGAACATGATTAAAGATTCTACTACAGGCAACAAAGAAGTGATGTATTCGATTTTACTGGATCAACCATTACTCCTTACAACGACAAACAAGAAACGAGGAGCTTTCCAAATAATAACAAAAGAAAAACACTATTCTCCATAGAACTAGAGTTTTTCGACAATAAGATTCAATGGCGCGACATAAAGTCTCTGATCACATTAACAAGAGAGAATCAACATTACATAGTCTTATCTATTAGCATGTAGAAACTAGATTGGATTTTGAAATAATGAGATTCTAATAATCAATAACAATGCATACAAAATGAAAATTCAGCTGCTTTTACACCAAACAGATTCAAATAAAAAATCTTAACAGGCGTAGTGAAGATAAGAGATAGTGTTAGAAATGAAACCTGGCAGAGATTGTAAGTGAAGCTGTCGTAATTATCAATGACGATGATAGGACCATTCTGCTTAGAGGAATTGACAACAACGGAAGGTATGGAATTCGATTCCGCCATTTCCATCGAAGCTTTCGCAAACACATCTATACGACTCTTCCCCAAAACCGAAACTCCTATCACAGAGGAAACAAAAACAGATAAGAATCGAAACTTTGATTCGAATAACGCCTCTACCTCCAAACCAAGATCAGCTGACTTACTTGTCGGATTCGTAAGAGGATTAACGAGAGAAGTGTTTAGTCGGCGAGTGGTGGAGCCAGACTTGGGTTGAAGAAGACAAGACTTGTACTGTGTAGTAGCCGCCATTGTCGGAGAAGCAAAGATCCTTGTTTGATTCCAAAAGAGAAGAGTTTATAAAAAGCTCTAAGAGAGAGATTGGGAAATTTGACAGTTGAAACGGTGCGTTTTAGTGGAACATGAACCACGTGCCTAATTAGTAGATGAGTAATTGATAAGACTCTGTTTTGTTTGGTCAAAGTCAAAATCATATTTATCTACAATGGCGGCTACACTATCGTCACGTACCTGAGCGAGAGTGGTAAGATAACGAAGGAACAGAGGGAACGAGGAAGACGAGTGGGACTGCAATAAGAACCGGCGAGAGCTCTCAGCTCCGGCAAGAGATCCGGCGAAGAAGACAGCGAAAGAGGAATCGGACAGGTTGAAGAAGACCTAAGTCTCAGGTTAAACGCATCACAATAATAATAAAAGGCTTACGATAAAACTAGTCCACTTATTAATCAGGCCCACTTGAGCCCATTTGCTTAAAACTCTCGTCGTGGTACTTTGGTCTCCCTGTTTTGACTTTTTAGCCTAGACGCCGGAGATAGACGCCGGAGAGAGGATTAGCGAGAAACTCTTATAAAAAGGCTAATGGGTGCGATGTACGACCATGGAAGAAACAAAGTCGTGGCCCAGAAGAAACCGGCGGCGAATCGAAACCTAGCTAACGACGATATACTTGAGGAGCAAGCTACTGATTGGAAAGTGTCTTTTGGCAAAGTTGCGGCAAAGATGGGTCCTTCAGATCTTGCGGATTTCCTAAAAAAAGTGCCGGTACGCAATGTGAAACTCTGATCCAAATCTCTCAGTAAATTCAAAATTTTCAATTTGGTTGTTTAATAGGACAAGTATCCGCCTTTGCCGCCGGTGTTTCGGCTATATAGATTTCTCGATTACTATGACTCTGCACTTTCCGGAGTAGCATGTCCATGGCGTCAGATGTTCCAGGAGTCTAATTTGGCCTGGCTTTTTGATGTGATCGATGTTCCGTTATCTAATATTCCTGAACCTGTCTACCAAACATCAGTCGATTGGATCAACCAACACGTTCCAGAGAACTTACGCTGTGGCTTTGTATTGTCGACATTTAATTATATTCTCCGTGATTTGCTTCCACAAGGTGTCAAGGAAGAAGAAGCTACTTATTGCCATTCTAAGGTAAACTTCTTTTTCGCTTTCACCACCACTTACCATTCTTTTTGTTTTCACTAAATCCACTATGTTCTTCTATTTGTGTGTGTTTACGATTATTAGGTGGCAATGTTTGTTACATTAGCAATGGTAGTGCGTAGCAAACCTCGTGTATTGACTAAGGTTTTGCCCTCTCTGAGGTTGAGGCGTATCTATAAAGGACAGGGCCAGATTCCGCTTACAGTTTGGTTGATAACTCAGGTTCGTATGTGTGTGTACTAGGAGGACCAAGTGTGTTGTGTTGGAAATTTTGTGTGTTTCTGTAGTAATCTGTATTAGCTGTTCTCAACTGTAAAATGTGGACAGGCCTCCAAAGATGATTTATCTGTAGGCTTGCTTTCATGGGCGCATAACTTGTTACCTCTAGTCGGCAGCAACCCCCAGTCAACTGATGTCATCCTCAAGTTGGTTGAGAAGTGAGTCGAGAAAGTTTTCCCTTTTGCTATATATATACAATCATCTGTTCTTGTTTGTTCATGCAATTTCCTTCCTTTTTCAGGATTTTGGCCAAACCAGATGATCAGGCCAGATTTGTAAAAACTCCTGTTTGGCAGGAAATGCGACTTATTCCACCTCATTCATTTGAGATCTTGTTGCGGCTTACATTCCCTGCAAGCGTAGAGGTACGTTTTACTCTATTGCAGCTGACAAAACAAAAACTCCTTTATGCGTCTGTCGATTCTGATCACGAGCGTGGTCTATGTGTGCACACACACAGCCTACTACAAGTAGGTTTGTGGCAATTTATCCCTTGCTGAAAAAAGTGGCTCTTGTCCGTACATCAAGAAGCCAGGCAATAGAAGAGATATTCACTTTTTCTTTGAGATTATCTGGAGAAGAAGGTATCAGTAACAACCCTGAATCCTTGTTGAGCTTTTCTGCTTCTCTCTTCCAAATAGAGTTCTAATCTGTTATCTTTGTTGCAGGAAATACTGTTTTAGCCGAGGAAGCTAGATCAATCGCTCTCTGGTCTCTGACCGTAAACAAGGATTGCTGGAAGCACTGGGAGAATCTCTACGATCAGAATCTAAAAGCGACTATTGCTCTTCTTAAAATACTTGTAGGGAATATCAAGTACGGTGTAAGTGAGGCAATGTATCAACAGATATTCACTTTTTCTTTGAGATTAGCTGGACAAGGTATTAGTAACAATCCAACCCTTGAGAGTTTTCTGCTTCCCTCTCACTCTTCTTCATATAGAGTTCTAATAAGTTAACATTGTTGCAGAAAATCGTGTTTTACCCCAGCAAGCTACCGCAATCGCTATCTGGTCTCTGACCATAATCTTTGATTGCTGGAAGCAGAGGGGCAATATCTCTGAGAAGAATCTAAAAGCTTGTGTTGCTGTTCTTAAAAAGCTTGTAGAGAGATGGAAGGATTATTCCCTCGATCTACCATCATCACTGATTGATACTCTTGCAGGTTCACCAGGAAGCAAGGCATGGAAACAAATCACTCGAAAGATATTTACTATCTCTTTGAAATTAGCTGGAGAAGGTATTTTACTAACAAACCAAACCTTGAATCCATGAGTTTTTCGCTTCCCTCGAAACTTCTCCAAATAGAGTTCTAATGTGTGTACAGTTACAGCAAATCCTGTTTTAGCCGAGGAAGCTACAACAATGGCTATTTGGTCTCTGACCGAAAATGTTGATTGCTGGAAAAACTGGGACAATCTCTATCAGGAGAATCTAGAAGCTAGTGTTGCTCTTCTTAAAAAGCTTGTAGAAGAATGGAATGATCATTCCCTGAAACTATTATCATCGCCGAGTGATACTCTCACTCTTGATCAAACTATGAAGAGCTTTATGGTACAGGTAATGCTCCTTGCTCTTCTAAGCTAACTAATTTCACCCTCCACTCAGTTGTCATTTCATCTCTGACCTAACCTGTGATGTTTTCAGAACAAAAATGCCATCACTGGAGGACGAGCCAATTGTTCTCTTTACAAAAAAGCTGACAAGTCCTGCAAAGTTATCTGGTGGAGACTATCTCGTGTAAGAAGCACCCTCAATATTGCTGTGGTTCTAGTTGCTGTTGTGTTCAAGTCCTGAATATATGTTTAAATTCAAAATTTTTAGTGAAGCAAATGTTATATTTTGACCTTACAAAGTCAAACTCTTTGAATGCTTTTTGGTCAAATAAGTTGAATAATATTTTCACACCCATAAATTAAGTTAATGAAATGAATTCTTAACAAGAAATTGACTATAGTTGGCCAAAAGGAATTCTTTTGTTGAAGGCCAAAAGGAATTTAGCTAACAAATATATATATATATATATATATATATATATATATATATATATATATATATATATATATATATGTTTAAAATCAACCAAAAATCTCTAAAAGCGATAACACATAATCAACAGAGAATCTATAAAGCAAATCATAAAGAAAAATATGTATATAAAAAAGAAAGATAAAACACAAAATTTTAATCTGTGTTGCTAATCTAAAATGCTTGAGACAGGTTTCTTCAAGAACTCATTATTTCTGAAAAACTACAAAAGATTTTTCAGATGTTCTATCTCGTATCTTCAATGTCTGAATCTGAATCATATATTGAGATTAAAATGAGAAAAACGAAGAAACAAATTATTCTCTGGAAACTATTTACATTGTATCCCAAAAGTATGAAAATCACTCCCTACAAAATGTATCACTGTTGTCTCTGAAGATACTGTTTTTCTTTCTTCTAGACATCATCAAGCCAAGAGACTAACTGTTGAGTCGTTGGTCTCAGTTTCGGGTTTTCGCTTAAACATAAACAAGTAATCTCGAGAACCCGAAACATCTCTTTATCATTCTCTTTACTGTATATTAACGGATCGAAAACCTCGCTTGCTCGATTCTCATGCTTCATCTTGACGACCCAAGAGATCAGATCCCTACATCCTTTCGGTTTACACATATCCACCGGTCTTTTATCGGTTAAAAGCTCCAGAAGCACAACTCCGAAACTGTAAACATCGCCTTTGTAAGTAGCAACCGAGGCTTGCCCATATTCCGGAGGAATGTAACCTAAAGTCCCAACCAAATCTGTACTTACATGTGTCTCGTAAGGACTCATCAGCCTCGCGAGTCCGAAATCCGCTAAATGAGAGTTGAAATTCTCGTCAAGAAGAATATTGCTCGATTTAATATCGCGGTGTAAGATATGAGGATCACAACCTTCATGCAAGTAAAGTAACCCTTTTGCAGCGCCTTGAGCGATTCTAAGCCGAGTTCTCCATTTCAATAAAGCTGGACCGTCGTTACGCTCGTGTAGCCAATAGTCTAAGCTTCCGTTTTCCATATACGAATAGATTAAAAGCCGGTCGTTTTTGTAGAAACAGAATCCTCGAAGAAGAACAAGGTTCGGATGCTGTGCTCTTGAGAGTGTTTCAACCTCTGCTTCGAATTCTCTTTCGATCTGACCACAATCCCCGGATAACTTCTTGATCGCAACTTTCTTTCCATCTGGTAAAGTTGCTTTGTAAACCATACCAAAACCGCCGCAGCCAATGATGTTAGCTTGATCAAAACTGTTTGTTGAGTCCAAAAGATCATCATAGGAGAGCTCTTTATCATTGTTCTGAAACAAAACCACAAGCTTAGATCCAATCTCTCCGAGTTCTTTGCGATTCATGCTCTCGGATTCTTCTATCTCCGGATCAACTTCCCCTGACCGTCTACGAGCACGCAACACAATCAACAAGAGAAGAGTGAGAAGGAAAACCGAACCAAACGCGATCCCAATCGCCATTCCAATGTCAGCTCCTTTGCTTCTTCTTGACCGTTTGATCAACGTTCTGTCAGAACCACCATCCATACTACCTTCAGAACAGGGGAACCTGTGTTCTCCACAGAGACTGTTACTCTCGAAGCTCGAGTTTGGAAATGTCTGAAACTGACCACCAGAAGGGATTACTCCCGAGAGATTGTTATTAGCAACACTGAACTTGGACAGAAACGAGAGCGTTTGCAGAGAAGCCGGGATCGAGCCCGAAAGACGGTTATTAGACAGATCAAGAGCTTCCAAGCTCGTCATACCCGAAAGCGAGCTAGGAATGGATCCTGATAACTTATTCCATTTAAGATCAAACACATGAAGCTTCTTTAGATTACCAAACTCCTCCCAAATTGGTCCAGAGAGATTGTTATGACCGAGCTCAATCGTTGGCGGAAACCCGAATATCTGATTGTATTGCAACGCTCTCGCGCTCTCGTTCCTTTTCATGAAAAACGGGAAATCTGGTGATGGTTCATTGAATGAGATATTACGGCTAGCGAGACTCGGCAACTGAGTTAAGCTCTTGGGGATTTCTCCGGTAAACGAGTTGTTAGATAAATCCAAGTAGAACAGATCTTTGAAACTACCAATCCAGCTCGGGATAGCTCCGGTTAAACGGTTCCAAGAAAGATCCAACAACTGAAGCTCATTGCTGGAGCTTAACCAACTCGGCATTGAACCAGTAAGCCTGCAATTCGCCACAACTAGCACTTTAAGCTTCTCGAAATGAAGACTCGAATCATCCGGTAAAGCCTCTCCATGAAAATTCAATGTAAGAACCAAAGTCGTCAAGTTCTTGCAATGCTGAAGTATCCCAAGCGCAGAAGAGATATTAGCCAAACTTGAATTCGATAACGAGAAGTAAGATAGGCTCTGGAAGTTCTTGAAACTCTCTGGCACTTGTCCATGGAAGGAGTTCCGCGCAAGATTAACGTTCTTTAACCGCTTGCAATCCGGTAGATTCTCAGGCAACGGCCCATTGAATCTATTAGTACCTAAATCAAGAGAGTTCAAAGCAATCATCGCCGTGCAATTCAACCGCAAAGGACCGGATAACGAGTTGTTCCTCAAGTTAAGCAGATTCAAACTCGGTGAATTCGCCAACGTTTTCGGGATTCCTCCAATGAATCCATTGGTCTGACCTAAGAAAAACTTCAACCGAGGCATTTCGTCGAACACATCAGGGATTTCACCGGAAAACAAATTCCAAGAAACATCAAGACGAACAAGACTTGAGAGATTCCTAATCTCACGACTCAACGAACCAGAGAGACGATTCTCTTGAATCCCTAAAAGATTCAAACTTTTAAGATGAAACAAATCCTCAGGGATATTACCAGTGAGATCATTCATACCAAGACAAAGATGCTCAAGCAAAACACATTTCCCAAACCCAGGAGTGAAATCTCCGGCGAAGTAGTTCACCGCAAGTTTCACAACCCTAATTTGAGTAGAGTTATAGCAGATATGAGAAGGAAGCGAACCATTGAGTTTATTGGAAGAAAGATCAAAACTTTGCAGAGCTGGAAGATTTATACTTCTTGAGATTTCACCGGAGAGATCATTAGAGCTCAAATCAAGAGTCTGTAGATTCTTCAAGTTAAAAATCGAAAGAGGGATCGAATCTCTGATAAAGTTCCGAGAGAGATTAAGAACCCTAATCTCATCTAACTTCCCAAGAGATTCAGACAACTTCCCAGACAGCTTCTTGTTCCCAAGCTCCAATTTAGTAACCCTTGTGGTGTTGTTTGTATTGCAGGTGACTCCGGTCCAATTACAGCAATCTGTAGAAGAAGATGAATTGATCCAACCATCTGGTTTTGGTTCGAGATTGGCTATGAAGTCACGTAAGGCCTCGAGGTCATGTGAATGGCACGTGACAGTGGTTTGAGATTCCGAGGAACAGAAGAAGCATAGTAACTCTATGAGGACGATGACGATCACACACAAACGATGAACACGCATTTCAAGAACAGAGGAAGAAGAAGAAGAAGAAGATATTTCTAAGTAAAGTTAAAGGAAGAAACTTTGAGAAGAAGAATTAAGATTTCAACAAAAACCCTTGAGAAATTTGAGAGAATACGAAATGGGTTTTCTGATTCTCACCATATTAGATGATGATCAATGAAGATGAAGCAAGAGAGAGAAGAGAGAGAAAAATGACGACTTTTGACTTCAACACGCAACAGCAAGTAGTGGGTGTTTTAATGCAGGCAAATTCTAGAGAGAGAGAGAAAGTGGAAGAGTTGTGTTTGGTCTTTTTTCTGATACAGAAGTAAACAGTAAAAAAACTTTAAATAAAGAAGAAGAAGAAGAAAGAAGAAGCTGTGAATAAATATTCTTTTTTCCTTATTGACGGTCAATAATATTAATTTAACAATGATTAATATTTGTTAAGTTTAATTAACTTGTGTTTATATTAGCCCCTTTATGGAAAATTTGTTAAAGACCCGTTATAGAATATAGACAATATAATTCTTTTCCGTGTTTTATCAATTATAATTTGAGTGCGTTTAGTCATATATGATGAAGTCTTAATCAATAATTTTGACTTAAGAAAGTCTTTCTCAATATTTATTTTTTTGGGTCCAAATCTTACTTTGAATAATAGTTTGTCTAGCCTTGGTCCTTCAACGGATAGATAGAGGAAAATTTGGAACTATTAATGAGAAATGAAAATGATCGAACGTAGAAAATTAAATGGGAAAAAAGTTTCATTGAAAGTATTTGAATGTTCTTTTAAGTTTTTTTTGCTTTTATTTTGAAAATAGTTAAGTTTATTCATTTTAGATGTTTCTATGCATATACCTTTTATAAATGTTTCTTATTTTACATTGCAAATGGTTAATTTTTATATTAAAATTTTCTTATGTGTTAATTGAATAATAATTAAAGATGACCGGAGAAGAAGGGAGTGACCGGTTAGGTCAGCTTTGAGGATTAAAGATGAGGACAAGAGAAAAGAGAGAAGTCAAAGCACGGACGTTGACACCTTGCATCTCTCTTCTCAACTACAATTTTTTTTCTCGCAAGTTGATAATGAATGAAAATAGACCTACAAGATATTCTTTAGTTTCCGATTAAAGCTTCCGCCAAAAAATCTAGATTTTCCATATTACATGTTATATTTCAACGAGGAAAGTTAGCAACATAATTTGTTGTTTTTTTTTTTTTTTTGGTATTACATAATTTGTTGTTTGTTGGTTAAAAGAATTTTATCGACCTATTATGTAAAATAGGAGCTATTTACATGTCCGAGAATCAATACGTTATATTTCCAATAAAAATTATTAATATTAATTTAGTATGACCGGGTTTGTATACTTGTAGTTTAGTGATTTCTAATATAAATTTAAATTTAAATATATACTTGTGTAAGTTATAGACGATAAAAATAAAAACAAAACAACCGTTATGTACAAAATATATTATATTTTTATACAAAAATTCTCATATTTACATTTCAAAAATGGTCAATATAACAACATGAATTTCATTGCCAAAGGATTCTATTATGTCGTTAATACTTTTTTCTTTTAATAATGACAAATTTAGAATGCATTAGTACTGCTTTTATATGTAACGTTAACATAAAATTTTATCGTTAGAATCTATCACTAATTAATTCGACAATAAAAATAAAAATAAAATAACCGTTATGTACAAAATATATTATATTTTTATACAAAAAATCTCATATTTTTGCATTTCAAAAATGGTCAATATAACCACATAGATTTCATTACCAAAGAATTATATTTTGTCGTTAATACTTTTTCCTTTCAATAATGACAAATTTAGAATGCATTACTTTTATATGTAACACTAACATAAAATTTTGTCGTTAGAATCTGTCACTAATTAATTCGACGATGAAAATAAAAATAAAATAACCGTTATGTACAAAATATATTATATTTTTATACAAAAATTGCCATATTTTTACATTTCAAAAATGGTCAATATAACCACATAAATTTCATTGCCAAAGGATTATATTTTGTCGTTAATACTTTTTTCTTTTAATAATGACAAATTTAGAATGCGTTAGTACTACTTTTATATGTAACGCTAACATAAAATTTTATCGTTAGACTCTGTCACTAATTAATTCGATAGAATTGGAAAAAGAAAACTCTGTCACTTTGGAAAATGGATTCTCTTGTAGTTATATATACGTTATGGATTTTTCGAAGAAATTTTTTTTTTGACAAAATAAAACCAAAAAGTCTCACACTTTTTGCCATGATTTATTTCTTAAAGAAAAATAGGCTGTTTACACAACTTTTTTTTGTTTTACTTGATTTATAAGTAATTGAGGACAATATAGGTGAATGGTGAAATGAACATAGACACAAAAGACTATATTGCTTAATAAACTAATTAGCCTACATTCAAAGTTGGTTTACCATATAAGAAATCACTTATATAGTTTTCCTAGTGTGTGCATGATCTTTCATAAAGAGATTAAATATTGTTTTACGTAGAAAGTTAAGATACGATTCCATGTTTATAATAAAATATTAAGGTCGACGATATCTATAATGAAGGAGACAGTCAAAGCATGTGACATCGACTATTCAACTCTATAATTAATCTTCAATACCATGTGGCTCGTAATCGCTTTGATATAATCGGTTTTCGTTAATAATAGTCTTCCATCCTGCAATAATAAGTTTTTTTTCTGAAAATTGACTTAAGTGGTTATATAGAATTGACTGAAAAATATGTCAAAAACAACCCTTTATGATAATTTTCTACCTATTCACGTATATCTAAACTCCTAAAATATACAACGATCCAAACTACTAAATTTATAGGAAAAATATCAAAAATAGAAAAAACATTGTACATAGTTTAAATTTAAATAGAAAAAACAAAACAAAAAATGTGAAAGATAATAGTAGCAAAAAAAAGAAAAGAATCTATTGCTTTGTCACACAACACAATTCACAATCTTTCACAGTTTAAAGCCCAACATCATTTCTAATCACTTAAAACCCAAGATTGTTGTTTTCGTAATGAACAAAAAGCCCATAACTTATTTTTTCGTAAAAGCCTTCGAAGTAGCCACAAAAATATTAAACAGTACAACCGATATTCCGTATCTAAGTTCATGGTCATATTGCCACTCCTACGAGAAAGTGGTTAGTCCGTTGCGAAGCTTAGCCCAAATTCGTGGCAAACTGGGCATAGATAACCACTGCTTAGCCTTTCTTAATAGTCGTTTAGCCACAAATATTGCTTGGCCAATGCACCATTTGCGACTAGAAATTCATGGCCATCTCCGTTGCTAAATAGCCACGAAAATCTATATATATAATGGGAGAGTTTCTCTCCATCTAAGGTGTCCACATCAGCATCCATGTCATCATAATTTATTTTTTGGTGGGCTCCACATATTTTATTTATTAAAACAAAAACATTAAAACTAAACTAATTCACACATTAAATAAAAACAATAATTGACAAAAATTAAATGAAATATTATGAAAAACGAAAAAAATAAATATACAACTTAATATATGAAATTTTTGAATAGAGATTGAATATATATAAATTAGATCATTATATTTTAACATATAAAGAGTAAATATTTTAAAATAGTTAGAGATACGAAAAAGAAACTTATCATATATTTTAATGGTACAAAATTTATTTTTTAAGAGTTGCCATTATTTAGTAGAGAAAAGGAAATAAGAGTTAAAAATACCAAATTTAAAGATTTTTACTTAAAATAGAAATCAATTCATTTCTGAAAAATAGACATTTAAAATTTGAGTACCGATTAAAAAATAAGAAGAATTTAGAACATATTATTATTTATAATTATAATATAATATAAGTAGTCAAATTAATAAATTTTCTATATTATAAATGTTTTCTAAATAAAAAAGTGAATACCTAAAGAAGAAAAACTAAATATTAATCAGTGTTTTTAGGTAATTCACATAGATTGAAACAAACTAAGGGTGATTTGAAATAAAACGAAAACTATCCTAAACATCACAAATAAAAATAAAATAATCTTATCGAATAATAAAACTGTGTAATAATAATATTTGAGAATGTTATTCATAAGTGTCACATTTTATAAAAATCAACATTAAGAATACTATCTAAAATCATAATATATGTTAAATTATATATGTAGAAAGAGATTTTTGTATTTTTCAAATGGTCAATATAAAGTGAAAAATTTAACGTTGAAATTCTATGTTTGTTAATAGGAATGAGTCCATATATGAGATTTGTTTTCTATAAAGCAATTTTAGATGCACCAAAACATGGTAAAAAAACACCTTATAACAAACATCTCCTCAGATTTCTTTTCTAATGTTCACTTTAATAAAAAGATCATGAAACTTATTAAAAAAATTGAGTATTGAATGATATGATGGAGAAAATAGAAACGATCTAAGGAGAAAAGAAAATAGATGTCGGAAGACGACGAGTGAATATAAAAGAAAAAGAGAAAAATTGTAGTAAAAAATGTGAGAAACTTTTTATTACTTTGGAAAGATAATGCACATGAATTAAAGTAAAATCTTTTAAAATTCAATTGATTATATTTATACTCAAAGAATAAAGTTTAAAATTACATGCCGCGCAACGCGCGGGTACACCATCTAGTATTAAAAATGGACATCTGATATTACATATCTAAGATCATCGTCATATCTAAGATCATGAACAATCTTAGTTGTTGTTATTCAAACATTAGTACACGAGCGATAATTTATCAATTTCTTTGCTATTTCATATCAAGAACTCCAAACTGTAAGTAAACTCGAGACATTTAATAGACAAGTTTTTAAGTTCAAATACACAAAATCTAATCAGTTAGTGTCTTCTTTCAGACAGGCCTGATCTCAATTCCCTGAATAATCAAACCACTCTTCCAATTTCCATTCTGAGTCTCCATTAGACTAATCTCAATCTCATCACAACATCCATTGTCAATGAAAAACCTCCCAAGCTCCACTTCACTCCACCCATCTACTCTCTCCTTTGGCCCCTCCACATTACTACCACGCTCCCTCTCTCCTTCAACTTCTTCTTCTTCTTCTTCTCTCGGAACCCGCAGCCACGGACGCCTCATCCTAAACGCTCTAGACACCGCAGCGTGCGAAATCCCCGAGTAACCAAAACCGCTGCGTGAATCCACACCGGATTCAAGAAACACTGATTTCTTGGTAGCTTCTTTCCCCACGAAACCAACTCCAGCTTCCACAGGTACGGAATCGAACCCATATGATCTACCATATGCCGTCTTGTACACCACGTAAACCGAATAATGAGTCCCTTTCGATAACATTCCGCAACTTATCTTTCCCCGAATCTCAAACCAACACACATTACGCAACTCCGCTACTTTCTCAAACCTGAATTCACATATAGACAAGATTAAGTAAACAAACCCCAATTGCACAAAATCAAAAACAGAGGATAAAAAACAAAAAGATGAGAACTTTACTTAGACTCAGGAACTGTAATCCATTGCCAATAAGCAGGAGCATCTCCCCAAATGATCGTCAAATCCATTGCTGATAACATGAAACACTTCTTCCCACTAGCTTTCTCCAACCAAAAGCTCTGATTTTTCCCCAAAATCAACAAACAAAATCAGCAAATTATACAATTATAAACAAAACCCTAATTTCAGATTCTCGAATCGGATTCAAATTAATTACCTTTTTGCCATCTTCAATCAAAACAGAATCATTAGCGAGAGATAAAAAAATCTCCTTTTTCGATAACAGATTCGCCGATCGAGCAACAACAAGAGACGAATACTCCGACGGAAGAAATATCTCCCAAACCAAATCCGATTGCGCCGCCGATTTCACCGTTTTCGAAACCGAAGCCACAACACAAGCGTCTCGTGGACTCGTATGTGAAATCACCTTCGAGATACAATCTTCCGGCAATGTATCGAACCGCGACGCGAACAATCTCATCGTTCCGGCTACTTCCTCCTCCTCCTCCGCCGCCGGAATTCGAATCTCCGCCGTGAATTTGTTCCATTGTTTTTGGAATCTGATGATGAAACGGTGCGTTTTGTTATGTTGTTGAGAGCGTGGCAATGAAGTGGATATTTATATCCTTCGTGATGCGTGAAAGACTTAGAGGTTAAGATTTTAATATGTTATTCCGATAATACCCTCAAAAGTTGTTATTCAAATAAAAACTTTAAAAGGTTTTTTTTTTTTTTTTGGCCTTTATCTAATCAGGCAAAGCAAGTGACTTTTGTTACGTGTTTAACTTACCTATGAAGTCTTTGTTTACGACTTATGACGAGATATATTTCTATTAATTATTCCCAAAAGTCAATAATAATTCAATGTCTTAATCAAGACCAAGTTCATGTATGTATATGTGTCATTTTATATCTACAGCTCTTTCCCAACACTCCTAAGTAAAGTCTAAAAGCATCATGGATGATAAGAAGAAACAATTTGACTTTACTTAGGAGTGTAATGTTTATTCATGTGAGAATGATGAACCATCATAAACAAAAACCCAAGTACACAAACATTACGATCCAAAACGTTAAATATCTCATGTTACAATACAACAAACTTTCTCACTTGCTTAGATATAGAACAAACATATATACCGTAATCATCGAAACCGGGTACTAATACTTTACGGGCTTTTCGTAGGGCGGAATTCGATTCCTTGAATGATCAAACCACTCTTCCAAGAAGGGGACTTAATCTCAATAACACTTAACTCAATTTCATCACATCTTTCTTCATTGAAGAATTCACCAAGCTCAGCTTCCATCCATCCATCTTCTCTCTGCTCTGGTTTCGTTACATCTCTCGTTTCTCTCCCTCTCCTTCGGTTCCTAGGTCCAACGAAGTATATGAACCTTTTGGAAGATTCTTGTCCCACCAAACCTAGTCCAACTTCTACCGGCAAATGACCTAATCCACGACATCCATCTTTCGTCTTGAAAACAATGTAAGCCGAGTAACGAGTTCCAGGAGATAGTACACGAGTGCTTGTCTTGCCACGAATCTCAAACCAACACACATCAAGAAGTTCTGCTACTTTTTCAAATCTACATAATAACAACAACGTGTGCAAATCATCATCATCATTGCCAATTCCAAGGACTAATAATTAGAGAGGAAAAAAGAGTTACCTAGATTCAGGATCTGAAATCCATTGCCAATATTCAGGACTACTTCCCCATGTGATCCAAAGTTCCTTTGAAGATAACATGATACACCTTTTCCCACTCGCTTTCTCTAACCAAAAGCTCTATGATTTTTCGAAAAATAAAATAAAAGCTCAAAATAATCAGAATTACAACTACACCAAAAATGTTCTATCGTATCAAGAATAAATTTTCTAAAATCAGGTTTTTAATCAAATCTATGTTCCCATAATTATCTAACAGAACGCGATGATTCAACACATAATTTCCAATTTGATCATTGTTCTCCAACCGTATAAACAAAAGGATAGATATAAATACCTTTTTGCCATCTTCAATCAGAACTTGGTTGTGGCAGAGAGCGAAATAAAGCTCCTTCTTCGATGCGAAAACTCGAGATTGAGAAATCAGAGATGAATAATCCGGCGGAAGAAACTTGTTCCATACGCTATCGGAATTAACAGCCGATTCAAAGGTTTTTGAAACCGATGCAGCAACGCACGCATCTCGTGGACTTGTGAAAGAGATTATGTTGGAGATGCAATCCTCCGGCAAGACATCAAAAGGTGACGGCCCGGGAATAACGATCTCTCCACCGCTAGATTCAATAATGCCATGATTTTGCCCCATCATCGATCGGTGCCTTTGAGGCTTTGATCAAATCGTGTGTGTTTGGAAAACTTAATAAACTCGTGAGTTCTGACTCTTTCAAACTCGCTTTTGTTATTGTAATAAAGGAATAGACAAATGATTCGTGTAATGTTGTCCACACATATTTACGAAACTACCTTACATTACACGCTTCATGTTTTTACTGTTGGTTGGTTTTGTACTTTTTGGTTATGAAAAATTCTAACCTAACCGACTACGATAGATTTTATTGTTTGAGCAAAAAAAAAAAAACAAATTTAAATGATTTTATGATGAAAATGTCAATGTAATTACAACAGAGAATATCTAAATATACATAAATTGAAATATCAGTCCATTCATTTATAAAATAAAACGCTATTTTGATTGTGAACATGACATTTATAGTTATCTATATCATTTCGAATTTGATTTTGCTAAGTAATAATGGAGCATCTTAGAAACGGTGTATAAAGCGTGGAAATGAGGCAGATATTCTATATCCGTGAGTGATCGTTACAGGTTAAGACTTAAATGTGATTTTCCGATCATAACCTTGTAAATGAATCGTCTTCAAAGAATCTCTCAAAAGTTTTTTTTTTCAAAAGAAGTTTTGCCTTTATTTAATCACCAAAGCAAATAACTTTTGTTTCATGTTTAACTTACCCCTGAAGTCTTTGTTACGAGAGATATAATAAATTATATTAGTCAGAAAAAGTCAATACTTTATAAATTTAATGAGTCTTTGTTTAAATTTTAAAATCAGATCATGTCGACAAATTTATTCATTTGTTTTTCTATATCTCTATTGTTTTCGGCTAAGTAATTTGTGCAAAAGCATTGTAGATGATAAGAAAACAAAAAAAAAAATCTTTATTGAAATATGTTCATGTGAGAATGGTGAACATCCAAATCAAACACTGCAATCCAAAAAACTAAAAATAGTTCGTGTTACCATACAACAAAGCTTTTCACTTGCTTAGATATAGAATTGAAAGCAAACAAACAGAAACTGGAATCATTCCAACATGGTATTACTTTATGGGCTTTTCGTAGGGCGGAATTCGATTCCTTGAATGATCAAACCACGCTTCCAATAAGGAGACTTAGTCTCAAGAATACTTGTTGCAACCTCATCACAACTTGATTCATTGAAGAATTCACCAAGCTCAGCTTCCATCCACCCATCTTTTCTCACCTTTGGTTTCGTTACATCTCTCGTTTCTCTCCCTCTCCCTCGATTCGTAGGCCCAACAAAGTATATGAGTCTTTGAGATGATGCTTGTCCCACCAATCCAACTGTAGCTTCTGCTGGCACATCCCCCAAATTAGGACATCTATCCTTTGTCTTGAACACAATGTAAGCCGAGTAACGAGTTCTAGGAGATAGATATTTAGTACTCATCCCCCCTCGGACCTCAAACCAACACACATTGAGAAGCTCTGGTACTTCTTCAAACCTGCATGAGTGCACCATCATAATCATCATCATCATCATCATCATGAGAATAAGTCATTACAATCGCAATGAATGGCAAAAAAGGAGTTACCTAGCCTCAGGAATTGAAATCCATCGCCAATATTGAGGAGTACTAACCCATGTGATCCACATATCTTTCTTTGGAGATAACATGATACACTTTTTCCCATTCGATTTCTCAAACCAAAAGCTCTTTTATTTTTGGTCATATAAAAAAATTAAAAGAAGTAATTAATAAAATCAAAATAATCAGAAATATTCAATAGATGCATGAAGGTATAACTTCACAACTACACCAAAATTGTTCCATTGTATCATGAGTAATTTTCTGAAACTAGGTTTTCAATAATGCGATAAGTATAAAAACCGATGTCATATATATACGGTCGATATATAATATACCTTTTTGCCATCGTCGATTAAAACAGGATTGTCACATAGAGCGAAATAGAGCTCCTTCTTCGATGAAAAAACTTGCGATGGAGGAATTAGAGATGAATAATCCGATGGAAGAAACTTGTCCCATACGCTATCGGAATTAACAGCCGATTCAAAGGTTTTTGAAACCGATGCAGCAACGCACGCGTCTCGTGGACTTGTGAAAGAGATTATGTTGGAAATGCAATCTTCTGGTAAGTTATCGAACAGCGACGGTCCGGAGACGATCACTCCTCCGCCTCCGCCGCTAGATTCAACGCCGTGTTTTTGCACCATCGACGAAGAACATGGAACTTTTCCACTTTTTCCTATAGAGGCAACGCTTTGTTTGTGTCCCATTGTTGCTTTTGTGAACTGTGTCATCTTGGTTTGGAAGCTGAGAATTTAAAGAAATCTTCTTAAGTCGCCTATGCGTTGTTAGGAAATAGAAAATGACTCGTTTATAGTCGTCCACACATATTTACGAAACCACCCTTATTCGCATCAATGCCTGCCGCGTGCGTTGCTACACGTTCACGCTGCATGTTTTTTTATTTTTTTTGAAAGAATGTAAAATTTATTCGATAAAAAACAAACGAGTGTTACAACAAGTGCATCAGTTTTGAGTTTATAGAAATACTCTGTTTTAAATTACAAGCTTAAGTTTGAGTAGAAAACCAAAGCATGAGAAGGTCTGCATACTTGTGGTTCCCCGAGCTGCGAAGAAGTGTGATCTTGTTCCGAATAGTTTTCTCTATCATTTGGCTAAGGCGAGGGACTGGAATGTGAGCTTCGCCATGCCTGCGGTTGTTTCGTTCTCTCCAAATGGAGTGGACATCAACCTGAAAAGAATACCGTAGAAGCAGCAGAGTTTGTTTGCCGAGAATTGAGCTTGAAACAAGCGACTTGATCTGGTCCCATTGACTGTTGGTTTTTTTTTTCAGAAACCAAATTTTACTCTTGGCTTTGGTTTGCAAAATTTTAACTAACAATATCCGTACTAAAAACGGTTGGGACAATTAACGGTCTACAAAAATTGAGAACTTTACCAAGACCATGTACGTAAATTTATTCATATGTTTACTCTGTCTCGTTCTTGGCTAATTGTAAAGTGTACAAAACCATTGTAGATGATTAGATAACAAAACACATCTTTTATTATTGTTCATGTGTGAGAATGATGAACATCAAAATCAAACATTACAATCAAAAACCTTAAGATATTTACATTAATACAAATGTTTTTCACTTGCTTATATATAAAACTAGAAAATTGCCCACGCGATGCGTGGGGTTTTTAGTTCAGTTTTTTTTGTCCTAATTATTTTAAAATTTAAGGTTTTGTATAAATTAATTTTAAAATTTAAGTTTTTGTCCAGGAAAAAAAAAGTTTGGTATTAATTTAGTTGGTTTGGTGTATATAATTTTTTTGTTTTTGCTCAACGGGTGTATATAAATTTAAATTTACGTATTATATAAAACAATTCTATCTGAGTATTGTTCTATATGAATAACAAAAAACTTATGTTGTTTTATTTTTCGATAAATTTCAAATAATGCATGTTAGAAAAAATTAATCACTTATCTCAGTGTTGATTGAACACTAATTCTAAAATTATGACAACAAATTTATTGTGAGGTGAGTACTACTCTTTGGTTACTCATGGTATATATAACAAATTTTCCTAAATGAGTTGTGACTTTTATCTTTTGACTATCTTGTTTTCAAGTTTTGTAGTGATAATCTTTGTATGTCAATGTAGCAGTGTTATATAGGTGATATGGTGCATATGATTTTTCTTTTTACAATTTATTTCATTAAGAAGAAAATTTATACAAAAAGTTATTCAACAAAAATTAATAAAAAGAAAAAGATATGGATTCATTAGATTTGTAGTTTCCTTTTTCTCACAGGATCTTAGCCACTTCATTTAGTATTTGCAACGAAAAACGGATACCATCAATAATCGTGTCAAACTCTTAATAAACCTAACTAATTATTGGTAATCACTTTAAACCAAATATGGCACTTTGCAAAGAAGTATGATATTTTTGATATATTTCTATTCAAATGTATAATTCTTCCATTTTCTTGGTGTATGACCAAAATACATAGGTTCCTTGATTGTTGAAAAAAAAAAAAAAATTTTAGCAAATAAAGAATATCATGAAGAGATGATAATACATTTCGAAATAACTACCAAGGAATTAGAAGATTAACTTATCTCTAAAACCGCCTTAAACTTGTATAAATAGAGGGGTTTGTCCTCTATTCAAGGCATCCGCAACTTTGTATTAAAAACCCTAATTGTTCTTGAGCTAAAGCGTTTTCTCTAAGCAATAAAATCCATCTTTTCTTCGAGTCTTTGATCAGAGTTTACAAGAGAGTTAATTGAATTTGTTTTCCTCACTTAAACAAATTCATTGTGTGATTTTCAGAATCAATAGATGTCCTTCCAAATAATTATACATGAATTTGTTTAATACTATATCCCAATAACCCTTGACATGACCAAGATCAACTACGATGCTTGGCGTGAACTCTTTGAAACTCACTGTTTCAATTTCGGCGTGTATGGTTATTTCGATGGCACGTCTGTTCCTGCAAATCTTGAAGATGTCTCATGGAAAAAACGTGACGATCTTGTCAAAATGTGGATCTATGGAACGATCTCCTCTTCCCTCCTCGACACTGTTTTGAAAACTCGTTGCACTGCTCGAGAACTCTGGCTCACAATTGAAAATCTGTTCCGCGACAATAAAGAAGCTCGTGCAATTCAACTTGACAACGACCTACGCTCACTTACCATTGGCAATCTCTCTGTCCACGATTACTGCAAGAAACTGAAAACGATTTCAGATCTCCTCGCTAACGTCGATTCTCCGGTATCTGACCGCCTCGTGCTGACGTATATGCTCAACGGACTCTCTGAAAAGTTTGACAACATCAACAACATCATCAAGCATCGCCAACCTTTCCCATCATTCGCCATTGCTCGATCAATGCTTATTGAAGAAGAACGTTGTCTCTCCAAGCAAATAAAAACAGGGACCTCACACTCCTACACACAGAAATTCTATCTCCTCTTCCTTCCTCCCACCTAAAAGCCCTAGAGGATCCAAACTGGAATGCAACCATGTATGAGGAATATGAGGCTCAAATTAAAAAAGGAACGTGGGATCTGGTACCCCGACCCCACAATACTAACATTGTGCGTTCAATGTGGCTATTTAGGCATAAATTTGGTGCAAATGGCAAGCTATCGTGGTACAAGGCAAGATTGGTAGCAAATGGAAAATCATAAGAGCTCGGCCTCGATTATGATGAGACAGTCAGCCCCGTCGTCAAAACCCGCAACGATTCGGCTATTGGTAAGAGAATTTAGTATGCTAAAACTTGGTGGTTCAGTTGTAAAACTAATTTATAAGAGTCCAATTTTGTTCCTTGGTCATTGCTTGCTCTTGCAATTGAATTTACTTCCCATGGTCAGCTCCATTTTTTAGTATCTACTCAATCGTTTAAAGGTCATTTGATGTCTCTCAATCATTTTCTTTAGTTCAACCACATCATGATAGAAAATAATCATCTTCTAAAATAGAATCTGCTTCATCTTATGATGTGAGACAATAATTTCTTTCTTTTGAAGATGTTAAAAAAATTTCAATAATATTTGGAACAAAGCAAAAGCAGAAGAAAAAAACATGGAAATAATATTCAAGTATAAAAGAACCAATTTAAACTAAATTGTGTAACTAAATAAAAACTGAAATCCGAAGAATTGACGAGAATGACATGGCTAATTGGAAAACTCATATCATGAGCTGATTCATCACCTAGACGTACGGCCAACTCTCCGTCTCCGAACCCACGCAAAACATTTCACTCCTCCCAACACATATAACCGGAAAGATAGAGAAACCACTTTAGAAACTTTTTTTTTTTTTTTTTAGAAACTTTATAACCAGAAATAAAAGAGACCATGTAAAATATTTGCTGGAATGAAACTTATAAATACAAAGTCGCCATATTCGGTAAATTAAAATAGATGATTTTTAGGAATATGGAACATGACACATTATTGACACAAGATGTAAAAAGTGTTCATGCTAATATGAGTTCAATATGTAAGTAAACGTCTATATATATTGACACAAAATTTTAATAGACGTTACTTTTTCTTTAGGAAGTTATTATGAAAATTTAACGCTCAATTAATTGATGCAGAAATAATATTGATTTCAATTTGAAGTGTGCAAATTACATAGATGTAAGAAAGCTTAGTGGGGATCAATCATGTGTGTATTTTTTTTATAACGTGTGATTATTCACATATGAAAGAAACTTAATGCTATTAATTTAATAAACCCACAAATGAAACAAATTTAATGCTATTAATTTAAAACACGTTAGGTAAAATCAAACCAAAACAATAAACCAAAAAAAAAAGTATATTGGAATGTAATTTTGTAACGTTTTCTACAACACAATAAACTACAAAGAAGTAAACAAATCAATGTTATTAATTCTAAAGTTAGTGGAGAGTGAATTTACGTGTCCCAAATTAATAACAAATTATATTAATTTGGGTGGTTTATTGTTTTCATTAAAAAATTTAAGTATTGCAAAAAAAAAAGAAAAATTTAAAAATTAATTGGCAAGTATTTAATTAAGAAGAAAATGAAAAATTTCAACTATTTAAATTACACTTTATTTGATTTTTTAAAAAATATAATTAAAATAAAATAAAATAAACGTTCACGTGCTTTTGAAGGCTATAAATAGTTTAACTCATACTTAAAAACTATTTAAATTACACTTTATATGAACATTTTGAAATTATAATTAAAAATAAACCAAATAAACGTTAATCAACATTTTATATTAAATTTTTAACTTATAAAGAATAATATATTTTAATTAAATTTTATATAAACATTTTCAAATGATAATTAAATACAAAGAAAATAAACGTTCAAAAAAATTAATTCTAGAAATATTTCTATAAACAGTCTAACTCATATTTCTAGAATAATATTTTTTTTTTGGTAAGCTCTAGAATAATATTTTGTAAAACTATTTAATTTACACTTTGTATAAAAGTTTAAAATTATAAGTAAAAATAAAATAAAAAATAAAAACTTTCACCAAAAGAATTTTAGAATGTAAAACTAAAACTTAATGAAGAGGACATGTGTCACAAAAATGGAGCGCCAAGTGTTGCATTAGTAGGCAAAGTTAGAAAAAACCTTGTCATATTATATAAGATTGAAGCAAACAAACATAGACCGGAATCATCGAAACCAAGTATTAGTTTACGGGCTTTTTCCTAGGGCGGAATTCGATTCCTTGAATGATCAAACCACTTTTCCAATAAGGAGACTTAATCTCAACAACACTTACTTCAACATGATCATCACAACTTGCTTCATTGAAGAATTCACCAAGCTCAGCTTCCATCCATCCATCTTCTCTTTCCTCTGGTCTCGTAACAACTCTCATTTCTCTCCCACACCTTTGATCCATAGGCCCAACAAAGCGTATGAATCTTTGAAAAAGTTCTTGTCCAACCAATCCGACTTTAACTTCTACTGGCGAATCCCCCAATCCGGGACATCGATCCTTTGTCTTGAACACAATGTAAACAGAGTAATGAGTTCCAGGAGATAGGTAACGAGTACTCATTCTACCACGAACCTCAAACCAACACACGTTGAGAAGCTCTGGTACTTCTTTAAACCTGCATGCAACTTCTTCCTATCTTCGTCATCATCATCATCATTGGAACGAGTGATTACAATAGAATCTAGTGGAAAAAGGAGTACCTAGCTTCAGGAATTGAAATCCATCGCCAATACTGAGGACTACTAACCCATGTGATGCACATTTCCTTCGGAGATAACATGATACACTTTTTCCCACTCCTTTTCTCTAACCAGAAGCTCTTTGATTTTCGGAAAAAGAAGATATTACTCAACATACTTAGAAAATATTGAATTGATGCATGAAACACAAAAGTTAAACCCAAGAACAATCTGTTGCTATTCAATCATTTATTATAAATTATGCATTAAAATGGGAACAAAAAATGTAGATAAGATTTATATTTTTTCCAATCAAACTATAATAATTAATAACCATAGAAATGGGACTATAGGAGTAACTTCCATATTTACCATTTTTCATTTAATTTGTCTAATTAAGAAGATGAAAAAAACAAGGAATAAAACAGAGCTAATTATCTACAAAATTTATTTTGTCTTAAGATTTTTGACTGGGACCTATGGCTATTATTGCTCCATTGTATCAAGAATCTTGTGAAATAAGGTTTTAAATTGGATCCTTGTTACCATATTTATCTAACATATACCTTTTTGCCATCTTCGATTAGAAGAGGATCATGGCATAGAGAGAAATAGAGATCCTTCTTGGACAAGAAAACTCGCGATTGAGGAACCAAAGAGGAATAATCCCGCGGAAGAAACTTCTCCCATACCATATCGGATTGGACAGCCAATTCAAAGGTTTTCGAAACGGTAGCAGCAACACATGCGTCTCGTGGATTTGTAAAAGAGATTATGCTGGAGATGCAATCCTCTGGCAAGTAATCGAATGGTGACGGCCCGAGAACAACGATCCCTCCTCCGCATCCGCTGCTAGATTTAGTGTCATGGTTATTCTCCATCGGTTCCTTTATGAAATTGTCTGCGTTTGAAAGACCTGATAGACTCGTGATTTCTGACCCGATGAAGAAGAAGTATAGTCTTTGGCTCTTTGCTAATACATTGGATTATTCTGAGTATGCCACACATATATATCATATCCTTTTGAGTGTTGCTGCAAATGAATGAATGATTTGACTTCGTAAAATAACATATATCCTTCTGCAACTTGGTGTTTTTTTCTTTGTCATATAGAAATTGGACTACTCTACTCATAAACATGGATGTTTTCCAACATATCGAATTCACAATCTACATTTTCTGTGTGTTTTCACGTTCACGCTGCATGTTTTTTACTGAATTACTTGTTGTTTAAGATTTTAAAAACCTAGCTTCCTCTTGGCTTTGGTTTGAAAATTCCAACTCACAAACCAATCCTTTTTTTTTGAATGCAATGTTAAATTATATTCAAAAGAAAAAATGTACGGTTTTACAACTTGTGCATCGTTTGGTTGAAACAAAAATTGAATCAAAATTTGAAACTATTTTGAATATCTAGACCTCCCGTTGAAGCTTAGCTGCGAGCTTGAAGCCAGAGTTGGTACGCGTCGTCATACCTTCTGTCTCCCATAAGTCGGACTGCTGAGATTTGATTCCTTACATGTTTGTCAATCCACCCCGTGATGCGTTCAGCTGTTTGTGGGTTCTCTCCATGTCGCCGCCCATTCCTTTCTCTCCATATGGTATAGGTAACTGCTTGAAAAACATATCGAAAGAGGAAGCCCTCTACTCGGTTTAGCTGTTTGGAAGATATAATGTCAAGAAGAAGAAGCCAATCTGTTGTGTATCGAGTTTTGAGAAGCCCCTTTGCAAGGGCTGCCCAAATGGTAGAGCTAAAATCACAACCAAAAAAGAGATGATTCCGGGTTTCTAAACATGTTTGACAAAGAACACAAACCAATCCTTAACATGTACGGACATAAGAAAGGAACATATTAAACAGATATGGTTGAAAATTTGATGTTAGAAATCTTCTACATAAATAAATGTTCAATCATATAAAAAAAGGAAAAGAACGAGTGTTCTTTTAGGCAATTGATTATCTTTTTAAAAATAGTTCTTTAATTATTGTATCTTCCTACAATTCTATTTATAAAATCGCTTATCACCACCAACAGAAACCATATCCAACGGTCTGTTTCAACCATATTATTATTCGCTAACCGTCTTATTTCATAGCAATACGAAACCTACAAAATCAACAAAACTACTGTAAGATGTTCCTCCCCTTTTTCTTTTTGAATTTGTTCATGTGTGAAAAAAGAACATCGATCAAAATAAAATTCAAACAACACAATACTAACAAAATGACTCTTTTCACACAAGAGCAACATAAAATTTTGAACTTGCTTCTTAGACAAGAAACATAAGATAACAAAACAATAACCGGAAAATCATCGAACCTGTTTTCCACAACCGTAAACCGGTATTACTTTTTAGCAGGTCGGAATTCAATTCCTTGAATGACCAATCCACGCTTCCAATAAGGTGACGTAATATCTACAATACTTAGCTCAATTTCATCACATCCCAAAGATAATCCTCCTTCATTGTAAAATTCTCCAATTTCTGCTTCTATCCATCCATCTTCTCTCTCGTCTGATTTCATTAGCTCCCTCTTTGCCCACTTTTTGATTTTGTCCGTAGACTCATCAAAGCATATGAATCTTTTAGGAGGCTTTTGTCCCACCAATCGAATTCCAACTTGTATGGGCAAATCACGGAAGCCGTGACATCCAGTTCTTGACTTGTACACTACGTAAGCCGAGTAATGAGTTCTCGGAGATAGGATCTGAGTATTCATCGAACCATGGATCTCGAAAGCACATACATCAAGAAGCTCCGGTACTTTTTCGAACCTACATATATAACACATTGTGTGCAACATTTTTTTCCTATCATCATGGTTATATTATATCACTATAAATCATGTGTGTGTCATTTCTTTTATTATATTTATTCTGTTATGAAAGTTAGATTTACTATCCAAATCCTAACATGAATTCTAATTTTCCGATTTAACGAAAAGAAGTACCTAGATTCAGGGATTGAGATCCATTGCCAATACTGAGGACTATTTCCCCATGTGATCGCTAGTTGCTTTGCAGATAACATGATACATCTCTTCGCACTCGCTTTCTCTAACCAGAAACTCTTATGATTTTTCAAAATAGAAAAGCTCATTTAGTAAAACTATTTTGTCGAGACCACGAATTTAAAACTAAAATAATTAGGTATACCTTTTGGCCATCTTCAATTAGAATAGGGACTTCGCATAGAGAAAAATAGAGCTCCTTCTTTGATGAGAAAACTCGCCATTCATGAATCAAAGATGCATATTCCGCCGGAAGAAACTTCTCCCATACACTATCTGACTGGACCGTCAATCGTAAGGTCCTAGAAACCGAAGCGGCAATGCATGCGTCGCGGGGACTTGTAAGAGAGATTATATTAGAAACACAGTCCTCCGGTAACTCATCGAAAGGGGATAAACGAGAAACAATCTCTTCTATGCCTTTGCCTCTAGAATCAAAGCCGAGTTTTTGCCCCATTGACGAACCACCGGAAACATCTTTTTCCCATCGCTGCATCTATCTGTATTATCAAGGGAAGTTGAGAAATCTCAAGACTTAGTACATTTTATGACTTGTCTTAAAGTCGTCTCTTTTATATAAAAGACCATCCTAAAGTGACAAAGTCATCCTCATATATTCACAACAATGAGAACGCACGTCTTTCCTCACAACTCCATATTCTTCAGTTGGTTTAGGTTTGGAACATTTATTAACTCACAAAAAAATAACTTACCCCATCGTTTATAATGTGATCCCCGGTAGAAACTTTAGTCTACAAAATTTGTTTTGTAGATGGTCAAAGTACATTCTTTCTTTTTATTAAAATGTTCATGAGAGAATGTTAAAACATCAAAATGAAAAATCGAAAATCACAAAAGTTACGATAAAACAAACATTACATTCTTGTTTTGTAATACTTGCTTAAGATACAAGATTGATACAAACAAGGTTGTATACATGGTCCAACATATTTTAATAAAGAAAATTTTAATATTAATTGGAAATATAATTTCTTAAAAACTGTTTTTCCACATCTAATAGATTTTTGAATATAAACTACAAATAATTTGACGATATATATCTAAGTTGACAATACAAACAAATAGAAAAGCAAAGCGGACTATATTTAATTGGAATTTTGGACAAACAAAAAACAGAAAACACGATTGAGCATTTTTTAATCATATCACCATTATAGCCGACTTGTCTATGTAATAAATGTGATTTAAACTAAAGTCGACATTAGAATTATAGATGATCAAAACATTCTGTTTTTCGTATCAAATTTTGTCATGTAAGAAGCATGAACATTATAATCAAAATTCACAAACATTACAATCCAAATTCACAAACATTACAACCACAAATATTTCTGCCTTTGGCTCTTGAGTCTTGAGTCAAAAGACTCAAACCGTGTTTTGTCTCTACAAGCGTCTTTGCCGCTAAAATATTCAAAAAGAAAAAGACACTGCTTTTTGAGTCGTCCACACATATTTACGAAACTACCCTTGTATGCATCATTGTGCACCTTTTGTAACATTGATGTAAGTTTGGTTTCTGGAAATATTCTAACTACCAACCCATATAATGAAATGAACACATTTTTAACTTACTTAGACATTAAACTCATACCAAAACATAACCTGAAACATCAAACCATTTTCTAAACCGCTGGAAACTGGTTTACATCTATTAACAAGGCAAACATCCATCACTATAAGAACAAAGTTGGAACTTAGCTTGTAACATACACTTTTATCATTTAAAATTACTTACCAGTTTAACAATAATACCAATAGATGAGCGGTTAATTGGGTAAAAACAAGCGTTCTCGGCATATCATTACCGGATAATTTTTTTTGTTAAGAATGTAAATATTTCATAAAAATGAAAACATATAAAGTTTACAATCAATGATTTTCAACCTAGACAAATGGTCCCATGGCAAAAAAGATAAAAACATGGAAGCATAAAATAACCGCAATTTTCGGGTCATTACTGGATATTCGCAGGACGGATTTCAATTCCTCCAATGATCAAGCCACGTTTCCAATGGCGCTGCTTATTCTCTAAAGCAACCATCTCAATTTCATCATAGTTCAATAATCCTCCTTCATTGAAGAACTCCCCAAGCTTTATCTCCATCCACCCATCTTTTCTCCTCTTTGGTTTCACTAGGTTCTTTCCCCTGTCTCTCCATCGAAACTGCTCATCGGTAGCCTCATCAAAGCATACATATCTTGGACAGGACTCTTCTAAATCCTGTCCCACCACTCCTACTACAACTTCTACAGCCACATTCTCAAAGCCATAACATATATCCGTTTTCCTGAACACAATGTAAGCCGAGTAACGAGTTCTTGGAGATAGGATGCAACTATTTATTCTGCCACGAATCTCAAACAAACATACTCCAAGTAGCTCCGCTACTGTTTCAAACCTGTATGAGGTATGTTAACATTTTTTAGCGACATCATTATATCCAAGCGAGTTATTAAAACCATGAAAAAAGGGATACCTAGCTTGAGGATCTGGAATCCATTGCCAACTCTGAGGATAATTTCCCCAAGTGATTGAGAGTTTCATCTCTGATAACATGATACACCTCTTTGCATTCGCTTTTTCTATCCATAGACACTTCGATTTTCGAAAGGAAAAAAACCCAAATGATCATAAAATTCAAAGTTAATTATACCCCAAATTTCTAAAGAAAATATAGCAGAAATGTTCTCATTTAAGCTTAAATCACATCATTTTTGTCATAATTCTCTAACTAAACTCGATGATTAGATATACCTTTTTGCCATCGTCGATTAGAACAGATTCGTCGCAAAGAGCGAAATAGAGCTCCTTCTTCGATGAGAAATCTCGGGATTGAGAAATCAAAGATTCATACTCTGGCGGAATAAACTTCTCCCATACAATATCTGACTTGACCGCCGATTCAAAGGTTTTCGAAACCGAAGCAAGGACGCACGCATCTAGAGGACTTGTGAAAGAGATTATGATGGAGATACATTCTTCCGGTAAGTCATCCAAAGACAACGTAGCAGCAACGCCGTGAGTTTTGTCGGAAGCTGAGAGTCTAAGAGTCTTCTTAAGTCGTTGTACCAATTTACGAAAATGCTCATGCATGAACTTTGTTTTGGTCATTATAGTCTCTCAGGATTCGTTGGTTTTGGATCTTTTGGTTTGGAAAATTCTAACAAACAAATCCAAATTATAAAGACTCACGTAAGGTTCTCACCAAAAAAAAAGAGAGTCAAGTAAGGTGGGCGTTGTAGAATTTAACCGCGTTACGGTGGCAATAATGTCATTGTTTTATAATATAGTGTTGACTCGTTACGCTAAATCACTAACAGTTAGAAAAATAAAACTAAAAAAAGGAAAAGCACGAAACACGTTTGGGTATTTTGAAACCATATCATTACATAAACAATTGACAATAATATCTCCATCCACCTATCTTCCCTTTCGGTTTCCTCCTTAGAAACTGCCCGATCAAAGCATACGAATCCACCAGTCTAACTTCAGCTTATACGGGGACATCCCAAATCCAGAAATATAATCCAATTTCCTAAACACTAAGTAACTTTCAGTGAAGAGTTTTCGCGGATCGAATTCGAGGATTCATCAAATGAGTCACATCAACCGAATATACTACTAAAAAATGATAACAAACAAAAACAAAAACCTAAATTGAGGAATCGGATACCATTTCCCAAAGGATGTTATATGGAAAAATTCCTAGGTCTAACAACAATAATATGATACACCTTTCCCCGTTTGCTTTGTCTAACCAGAAGCTCTTCAACTTTCAACAAAAGGAGCTAAAAATTATCATATATTTTCAATCTCTAGAACTAACACTTTCTTTTGGCCTCACAAGCGACGACCCGAAAACTCCTCGAGGATTTTCGTAGGACGGATTTCAATTCCTAGAATGACCAAACCACGCTTCTGCTGGGGGCATTTACGCTCTAAAATAGTCATCTCAATTTCATCACTATTCCATCCTCCTTCATTGAAGAATTCCCCAAGCTCTACCTCCATCCACCCATCTTCTCTCGCCTCTGGTTTCACCACCACTTTCCCCTTTCGAAACTGCCCTTTCGCATGCGTATCAAAGCATATGAATCTTCTAAAAGAATCCTGTCCCACCACCCCAACTACAGCCTCTAAAGACACAGCCTTAAAACCACAACAAGTATCCGCTTTCTTGAACACAATGTAGACCGAGTAACGAGTTCTTGGAGAAAGGACACGAGTATTCATTCTGCAATTGAACTTAAACTTACAAGCTTCGCGAAGCTGCGCTACTGTTTCAAACCTGCACATCACATGGCAACGTGTTGCAGCATTATTGTAACGATCGAATTGAGTCAATACAACTGAACTAATACAAAGATAATTACCTTGCTTCAGGAATTGGAATCCATTCGAAACGCTGAAAAATATCTCCCATGCTTGAGAAATTCATCATCGCAGTCGCAGAATACATTACACACCTCTTCCCACTCGCTTTCTCTAAACAAATGCTCTTCGGTTTTCGACAAAAATCCCAAATAATCCGAGAGATTCAGTATCAACACAAGATAGAACTTCAAAGTTACACACAAATAGCAGAGTTTTGTAGCCATAACTCTCAAGCAGAATTCAATAACTCTATATACCAATTGCAATTTCCAATAACTTCTACATTGCTAATTTTGTAGTTGATGATTCTCAAAATCGTATAAACAAAAATAGGTTAGATTTTTTTACCAATTTGCCATCGTCGATTAGGAGAGGATCGTCGCAGAGAGAGAAATAGAGTTCCTTCTTCGAAGAGAAAACTCGCGACGGAGGAATCAGAGATTCATAATCTGCCGGAAGAAACTTCTCCCATACGATATCTGATTTCACCGCCGATTCAAAGATCTTCGAAACCGTAGCAGCGACGCAAGCGTCTTCAGGACTTGTGAAAGAGATTATGTTTGAAATGCATCCCTCAGGCAACGAATCGAAAGAAGAAGAATCGATCTTTCTCTTGCTTTCGCTTCGATTTTTCTCAATCAGTGTACGTAGCCGTATCATCGTCTCCGTCGATTCTGATGAGAATTCTGACTTCAGGAGACTCTTTCTCTTCTTAAATCCTTCAACGAATTTACGAAAACACCCCTGATTTGTGAACAATGAGCGCGTCTACTTCCCGCTCCTTTGTTTTTTTGGATCATATTCTCAGATGGGCCTTGTACAATTGAGAAGCCCAAAGACAAAAGAGAGAGGTAAATTGATTTGGACTTGCCGGCAAAGACCCGAAAGAACATCGGTACAAAGTACAAAGAGATACGGAGAGAGCGGATCGCCTTTGTCCGCGTTCTTGACACAATGTAAGACCGAGTCAAGAATCTATTGAGTATGAGTTTTGGTGATCAAGTACTACTACTTAGAAATGTTAAGAAAGAAAGAACACAAAGTGGAAAGCTCTAGAAAGGGACCAAGTCTCTAGCCAATAGAATATTCAATCTATTAGAATTAACGCCGTGTTTTGGCCTCACCAACAACAAATCAAAACTCCTTTGCCTTTGGCTCTAGAGTGAACGACGGGTTTTATGCCCCATTGATCTGTATCATCACTACATCTATCTAGAAGCTGAGACTTTAAAAGACATCTGACTCTATATGAAGTTCCTCTTATATATGCAATTCTTTGCATCAATGTGCATGTTTGGCAAAATTTCCAACTAGCAACTAACAAAGTACGTTGTTTACCACATAAACTCTAATGGAACCAATCATTACAATAAACACAACTGAATACACTTTTTATCAACTGGAATTTACCTCTTCACTCCACCAATTGACAATAACACCAATAGATGAGCAGTTTGATCGGAGTGTTTCGCCGCATTATTACTTTAAAGGACTTTTCGCAGGTCGGATTTCAATTCCTTGAATGATCAAGCCACCCCTCCAAGTGATACGCTTATTCTCTAAGGCACTCATCTCAATTTCATCACTATTCATCAATCCTCCTTCATTGAAGAATTCCCCAAGCTCTATCTCCATCCACCTATCTTCTCTCTCCTTTGGTTTCACAACGTCCCTCCTTCCACCGTCTCTCGTTATAAACTGCCCATTCATAGCTTTATCAAAACATATGAATCTTCTAGAAGGTTCATGTCCCACCATTCCAACTTCAGCTTCTACTGCCACATCCGCAAAGCCATAACATTGATCCGATTCCATGAACACAATGTAGACCGAGTAACGAGTTCTTGGAGATAGGACACGAGTATTCGTTCTGCCACGAATCTCTAACCTAACATCACCGATAAGCACCGGTACTTTTTCAAACCTTCACATCACACGGCAACATTTTCCAGTATCATCATCATCATTCGAACGAGTCGATACAAATGAACTCACACAAAGATAATGAAAAATGGTACCTAGATTCAGGAATTGGAATCCATTGCCAATAGTGACGATCCTCTCCCCATACCATTGAGAGATTCATAGCTGATAACATGATACACCTCTTCCCACTCGCTTTCTCTAACCAGATGCTCTTTTATTTCCGGAAAACAAAAATCACAAATAATCAGAGTTAATCATTAGTTAGAGCTTCAAAGTTAGACCAAATTGCTCCAAAATAGCCACAATTTTCTGATTTAACATTATTCCAAAATCCTATAAACAAAGTGCAAAACTGATGAATAGATATACACATATACCTTTTTGCCATCGTCGATTAGAAGAGGATCGTTACAGAGAGCGAAATAGAGCTCCTTCTTCGATGAGAATTCCCGCGATCGAGGAACCAGAGATTCATAATCCGGTGGAATAAACTTCTCCCATACGATATCTGATTTCACCGCCGATTCAAAGGTTTTCGAAATCGAAGCAGCGACGCATGCATCGCGTGGACTTGTGAAAGAGATGATGTTGGAGATGCATTCCTCCGGCAAGTAATCGAACGGCGACCACTCCGAAACTCTATCTCCTCCGCCTCCGCCGCTAGATTCGACGCTCTGTTTTTTCTCCATCGATGCTTGTTGTAACTGTATCATCGTCTTCGTCGGAAGCTTAGAGTGTAAGACTTCTTAAATCTGTTTGACCAAAAAAAAAAGACTTCTTAAATCTTAAAGCGTTTTATAAATTGACGATAATACCCTTATTTGCGAGCAATACGCGCGTCTCTTTCACGCTCCTTGTTTAGGTGTCACATTCCCTCAGATGGGCCGCGTACGATAGAGAAGCCCAAAGTTCTGTGGTCTTTTTCGGTAATGTCTCTCTATTACAAAAGGTAAAAGGGAAAGGAGAAAGAAACAGAGAGTTTTTGTGTCATTTCTTCATGAGAAAGCTTGTAAAGTGTAAACACTATTCGATTATGTGAAGATAATGTGGACAGCATTTACCGAAATGAGGATAATGTGGTGGCTCTATATATGGGATTCTTAAGTCTAAGACGAAGAAGATAACATGATACACCTCTTTCAACTTGTTTTCTCTAACCAGATGCTCTTTAATTTTCAAAAAAGAGAGCTAAAAACAATAAATATCTTAAATTTTAAAAAAAGAGAGCTAAAAAAAATTACATATCTTAAGTTTTCAATCTACAGAGATAACGCTGTGTTTTGGATCATCGTCTGCACCTGGAAGCTGAGATTTAAGTAAAATTCTGACTATTTCTAAAGTCCTCTTATGCAATTAGGAAAATACTTTTATCAATTGGAATTTACCTCTTCAGTCTTCACTCCACCAATAATACCAATAGATGAGCCGATAATCGTGTTGTTCTGCGGCATTACTTTAGAGGATTTTTGCAGGGCGGATTTCAATTCCTTGAATGATCAAGCCACACTTCCAATTGAGCTGCTTAGTCTCTAAAGCACTCATCTCAATTTCATCACTATTCATTATTCCTTCTTCAATGAAGAATTCCCCAAGCTCTATCTCCATCCACCCATCTTCTCTCTGCTTAGGTTTCACAAAGTTCCTCCTTCCCCCGTATCTCCTTATAGCTTCATCAAAGCATATAAATCTTCTAGAAGGTTCCTGTCCCACCACTCCAACTGCAGCTTCTATGGCCACATTCTGAAAGCCATAACATTCCACTTTCTTGAACACAATATAAGCCGAGTAACGAGTTCTTGGAGATAAGACACGAGCATTCGTTCTGCCACGAATCTCGAACCAACATACATCAACAAGCTTCGCTACTTTTTCAAACCTTCATAATACAGGGCAACAATTTTCCAGAATCAGTATCATCCCAACGAGTCATTACAACCAAACTACCGCAAAGATAATGAAAAAAAAAAAGAGTACCTAGATTCAGGAATTGGAATCCATTGCCAATAGTTTGGAGTATCTCCCCATATGATTGAGAGGTTCATTGCAGATATCATCAGACACCTCTTCCCACTCGCTTTCTCTAACCAGACGCTCTTTCATTTCCAAAAACAAAAATCCCAAATAATCAGAATGATTCAATAGAAGCAAACTTCAAAATTACTCCAAAATAGCGATAATTCTACATACAAATTGCAATTTGAAGGCGATGAGACAGATCATTATTCCCAAATCCTACAAACAGATCATTATTCATCAATTTTGCTACCTTTTTGTCATCGTCGATTAGAACAGGATCGTTACAGAGAGAGAAATAGAGTTCCTTCTTCAATGAGAAAGATCGAGATGGAGGAATCAGAGATTCATACTCCGCCGGAAGAAACTTCTCCCATATAATATCTGACTTCACCGCCGATTCAAACGTTTTCGAAACTGTAGCAGCGACGCACGCATCGCGTGGATTTGTCAAAGAGATTATGTTGGAGATGCAATCCTCCGGCAAGGAATCGAACGGCGACGACGACTCCGATGTAACGCTGCGTTTTCTCCCCATCGATGCTTGTAACTGTATCTTCGTCTTCTCGGAAGCTAGTTCTTAAAATCTCAAGTCGTTCTACGTATTTACGAAAATACCCTACGACTCTTTTTAAAATCTTAAGTCGTTCTACGTATTTACGAAAATACCCATGGATTGTGAACAAGACACGCGTCCACTTCACGCTGCGTTGTTTTAGGATTCGTTGGTTAAGGATTTGGTTTGGAAAATATCCAAATTCCAAACTAACAAACCAATTATAATAAAGTCAAGTCAGGTAGGCTTTATGGTAGATCAACGGTGGGAATATTATTTTTTAAATTTTATAATATAGTCTGACTCGTTAATCCAGAGAAAAGTAAAGCTTAAGCTAACCAAATAGAATAATCAATTTAAAAAAATGAAAAAAAAGTGAGAAAGCAAACAAAACTCTTCATTTGAATTTCCTAAACAGAAAAAAAGAAAAACATAAAACACGCTTGTGTATTTTCTAAAGCAAACGACACTAAACCTGAAAAGGCAGACGTAAATCCGCCGCAACAACCCATTTTTTTTCGACGGCGTAAGAATTTCCACCGCCGTAACGCCGTTGTTTTCTCCACGAAGCTTGATTAGGTTAGTGTGTGATTTGTGAGATTCGTTAAACCCTAGCTCTTCTTTATAAATCCTGTGATGTTTTTTTTGTTTGATGATCTTTTGCTAGATTGAGAGATCTAAGTGATTTGATTACTCTAGTACTGTATTTGATTGATTGATTTTAGATAGATTTTGAATTTTTCCCGTTTTTAGCCGTAATCGGAAATTTCTATGTTCGGAGAGTTTTGATTCTCTCTGTAATTAACTTTACTCTTTCGTTATCGGTTCCTTGTATGTAATTTCCTTGTGTGTATTTGAAGTTGCTGAATTTATTTCAATATTAAGATTTTGAAGCTAAGTATCTCTATTCTCTGTCGTCTCTCTGTGTATCTATTGATATAGATATGTTCTAGGGTTTGTTTCCATGTAATAGAACAGTAATTTATTCTTGTTTTGGCTCTTTGATATCAATTTTTGGTTAAATTTTGGCTTCAGCTTAGGTTTTGAACACTGATGTCAAACACATTGAAAGAGTCAAGAGAGGATAATACAGATTCTGTTGGTCAGATGAGGGAAGATAATGAGTATGTTCGGCTTGTTGTTGCTCATGAAGCCTCCGCAGCTGAAACTGTGTTGTCTCTATCGCAATCAGAGGTGCAGAGTAAGAAATTTATGTGGTGGTTGAAAGCTTTGGGGATATTTGCAGTTGCTCTCTTGCTTACGCTTGTTTTCGGCAAATGGGGAGTTCCGTTTGTGTTCCAAAAGGTAGTCAATTCTATAGTTTCAACTATTTTAATTGACGATTATTTCCTTATAATGATCTATGTCACAAACTCTGGTCTTTGGATTGTAATAGTTTGTTTCAATTGAAGGTTCTTATTCCAATTTTGCAATGGGAAGCAACTGCGTTTGGCCGTCCTATGCTCGCGATTGTCCTTGTTGTTTCCTTGGCTTTGTTCCCTGTGTTCTTGATACCTTCTGGTCCTTCCATGTGGTTAGCTGGGATGATTTTTGGTTATGGTCTCGGTTTTGTTATAATCATGGTTGGAACCACCATTGGCATGGTCCTTCCTTACCTAATCGGGCTAATGTTCCGTGATCGCCTCCATGTATGAACCCTTTACTTTCTCTTTTTCAAGTCCAACTGTGATTTCTTACAAGATCACTAACGTTGTCCCACAATATGCAGCAATGGTTAAAAAGGTGGCCTCGTCAAGCTGCTGTTCTTAGACTAGCTGCAGAAGGAAGCTGGTTCCATCAATTTAGAGTCGTGGCAATCTTTCGGGTTTCCCCATTTCCTTACACGATTTTTAACTACGCAATTGTTGTGACAAGCATGAGATTCTGGCCTTACTTCTTCGGATCCATAGCAGGAATGATACCAGAAGCTTTCATCTACATTTACAGGTTAGTCTTACGCTCCTCGGATTAAAACAGTGAAAAGTCATAAAAATCGAAACACTAATTCTAAAACTGAATCCATATGCAGTGGTCGGTTGATCAGAACATTCGCTGATGTGCAATACGGACATCAACGTTTGACAACAGTGGAGATTGTGTACAATGTAATCTCCTTAATCATTGCGGTTGTGACCACTGTAGCTTTCACTGTCTACGCGAAAAGAGCTTTGAAAGAGCTTCAAAACGCAGAAGCTAATGAAGATGAAGAAGTTCCGGTAAGAAAACAGGCGAGATTTGAGATGAAGAATGTTGTTCAACACGAAGAAGATAATCATCAGCGTATGCCTTAATCCGAAAGTTGACACAAAGCTATGGTAGGTTTTGTATAAAGCTTTGGACGTTGACATGTTCATCAGCAGGAGTAGTAGTAAATAACAAAAGGGGTAAAAAAAAGTCTGATGTAGTAGGAAAGACTAGTCAAGATTGGATTTAAATTAGTGTGACTGATTCCAAGTATTGAAAGAAATAAAACAAGCATTTAGGCTATAAATAGTGTATGAAAATCTGGATGCTCTATGTGATCTACTAGTATATTTTAATACTTATACCACATTTGTTGTCCATGAGTTTGTAGTTTTGTTTTTAGGCATTACTTAAACCACATTTGTACACTTTGATGTCTTGTCACTTCGTCTACTACAATTGATTATAGTCTTCTCTATTTCACTACTTAGCCATGAAACCAGGCTAAAACTTCCGGTTCAATTTGATGTTATTAAACGGAGTTCAATTGGATCACCAAATTAACATTTACCGGTCATAATTTAATATTAGCATTGTATTTAGCTGTTAATATATGGGATTTGTTTTTCAACATAATACATAAAAAGCATCTTTAACTCTAAAATCAAATTCAAAACCAGTGAAAGGTCCTAATGTTTCTCTTGTTTTAGAGCATTTTCTGTTTTCTGATGACTAAACTAGGCGTGGATAAATTTCCAAACTGAAATTTCTGAACCGTACCGAACCAAAATTCGGTCAGTTCAATTTTCTCCAACCCGAATTAACTGAAGTTCCGACCCGACCCGACCCGATGAAGTAACAACAAATCCCACCAAATCTAAAATGTCGCATAAACTAACAAAAGAAGAAGAACAACTTTGATGCGTTTCAATAAACAATTGCATCAGAAAACAAGTGAAGTGATTTACTTTGATGCTAAAAGACAAAAAAAGAAGGAAAAAAAAATGGTTAGGTATGGTTTCTTCTCTAAACACACAACAATCGGAGAAGAAGAAACACACAACAATCGCCGGAATCTGCGAAGAAGAAGAACGCATTCCTTACTGAATAATGGTTAATTTCGAATTTATTTCTATCTAGTAAGAGATTTCGTTTGATACTTATTGTTTTCGATTTTTATCAGGCGAAGTTGAAGCTCTACTCTTACTGGAGAAGCTCGTGTGCTCATCGCGTCCGTATCGCTCTCACTTTAAAAGGTCTCGCCAATGATTTTCTTCTTTTTGTGAGCAGCATTGTTGTTATTTGATCTGAATTTGATTATTGTTCGATTTTCTTTAGGGCTTGATTATGAATATATACCAGTGAATTTGCTCAAAGGGGATCAATCCGATCCAGGTGCGTAATTTCTAGTTTTTGATTCGGATTGAAGATTATATTGAACTTGATTTGAAAAAAAATTCAGAAGCTATTGTAAAGATAAGAATGTTAAGTAAATGAGGTTTCTTATGTTAAAAGTTTATCGTTTTGATCCTCAAGATTTCAAGAAGATCAATCCAATGGGCACTGTACCAGCGCTTGTTGATGGAAATGTTGTGGTTAATGATTCTTTCGCAATAATAATGGTTAGTAGCTACACAGCCATTTAGGTTTTTTTTTTTGTTTCTTGTTGTGGTTTTGTGGATTTAAAGGAACAGTTCATCGATCTTTAGTTTTGTGTTTGTGTTTTAAATTGACAGTATCTGGATGATAAGTATCCTGAGCCACCGCTGTTACCAAGTGACCTCCATAAACGCGCGGTAAATTACCAGGTATTTTCGATCTTCTGTCTTCTGATGATGATGTTTTGCCATCATCTGAAAAACCATCTAGTTAATACTGTTAAGCTTCTGTTATGTGCCCAAGCAGATTGCGAGTGTGATCGTTCTTATTTTGTATATTTCAGGCGACGAGTATTGTCATGTCTGGTATACAACCTCATCAAAACATGGCTCTTTTTGTGAGCAGATCCGATTTATGTCATTTACTTAAGATTCTACTGTTGGAGTTTCTAGATAAAGCAAACCTAGTTACATTTTTATCTTCTTTTTTTTTTTTAACAGAGGTATCTCGAGGAAAAGATAAATGCCGAGGAGAAAACTGCTTGGATTACCAACGCTATCACAAAAGGATTCACAGGTTCGAGATCTCAGATCTTCAACATTCCATCGTTGCCATAAGTGATAAGATACATAGATGTAATCAAGAACCAAGACATATGTTCAAAATGTTATTAGTTGATATTTTGGTTGAAAAGTCTTACTCATATCTCAGTTAAACATATCCATGCTTTATGCTTGGTACCATTCATCTCTTAGATGACAGTACTTATCATCAAGATTTAACAGGGTTAAGGTTTTTCCATTGATGAACGTAAAAAGTTTTAGATACAAAAGCTACCACCTACAACACAAAAGATGTTTACTGTTATTATTGCCTTGAACAGGTTTATATTGACCTGTCTGATAATGACTCATATGTCCTTCAGCTCTCGAGAATCTGTTGGTGAGTTGCGCTGGAAAATACGCGACTGGTGATGAAGTTTACTTGGTATGACTCTAAATCTCCCTGGATGTTCTCTATGGCACTCTCTAGTCTCTACTTTATTACAATGAAGCATTGTTTTGCAGGCTGATCTTTTTCTAGCACCACAAATCCACGCAGCATTCAACAGATTCCAGATTAACATGGTACTTTTCCTCTTCTAATACCCGACATGGTCTAGATTTTGCATTATATAACCCCCAGATTCCATGGAATCCTAGATCAGTTTTATGGTAGCATGAACCATATGGTATCTCTGTCTCACTCTTTCACATTCACAGAGTAACATAGATGAAATCCTCAAATTCTTAACTTTTTTTCCTCGCATCACTCGGTTTCTACTTCTACTATGTTGTAAAACATGCTTTTTCTCTTGTATAGGAACCATACCCGACTCTTGCAAAGTTTTACGAGTCATACAACGAACTGCCTGCATTTCAAAATGCAGTCCCAGAGAACCAGCCAGATACTCCTTCCACCATCTGATTCTGCGAACCATAAGCTTCTCTCAGCTCAATAAAAAAAAACCTCATACGCGACAACAACAACAACAACAACAACACTTATATATGTATCATATGAACCAGTTTACAAATAATTTTCATTCCGAACATAAACATGTTGTGTAAATCATCAGAGAGATTCAGAGAAATGAAATAATGTGTTTCAAAAGTTTTAATATAAAGTTGGTATGTTTTATGGAAAATAAAATAAAAATGCATCTTTTTGACAAAAAACTAAAGAGACAAAAACACAATTGCATTTGATTTACTTTGACCGTAAAAGACAAAAGAAAAAAAAAATAGTCGTCGTCTCCGAATTCGCCACTTCTTCTTCTCTACACAGAACAAAGTAATCGCAAAAGCACACAAACAATCGCTAGAATCTACGACTGCGAAGAACAACAATTCCTTGTTTATCTATGGTTTAATTACAGAACTCTTTCTTTGTTGATATATTAAATCATCGTCTCCACTCAATTTCCGCGTCATTTTTTTTTTTTCCGATTTGATCAGGCGAATTCCGGCGCTGAGAAGTTGAAGCTGTACTCTTACTGGAGAAGCTCGTGTGCTCATCGTGTCCGTATCGCCCTCGCTTTAAAAGGTCTCGCCAATGATTTTAGTTTCGGTTCTAGTCATTTTGTGAGCAAGAGTGTTGTTATTTTGATCTGAATTTGGATCTTGTTTGATTGTTTTAGGGCTTGAGTATGAGTATATACCAGTGAATTTGATCAAGGGTGATCAATTCGATCCAGGTTCGTAGTTTCTAGCTTTTGATTCGGATTCAAAGGTTATATTGAACTTGATTTGAAAAAGTGAAGAAGCTATATAGTTAGTAACCTTGTTGATGAGAATGTTAATGAGGTGCTTATGAGTCATCTACTGATGATTTTGGGTTCTTGTGTTGAAAGTTTATCGTTTTGATCTTCAAGATTTCAAGAAGATCAATCCAATGGGTACTGTACCAGCGCTTGTTGATGGCGATGTCGTGATTAATGATTCTTTTGCCATCATAATGGTCAGTTACACAGCCTTAAGAGGTTTTATTTTCTTGTTGTTTTGTGGATTAAATGAAACATTTCATCAATCTTGAGTTTGTGGTGTTTTGTATTGATAGTATCTGGATGAGAAGTATCCTGAGCCACCTCTGTTACCCCGTGACATCCATAAACGGGCTGTGAATTTCCAGGTATTTCAATCTTCTGTTACTTCGGTCAAATCTTGGTTTCGTTCTTTGAATCATGCTTTGTTACATGTGCCATGAACAATACCAGCTTAGATTGTCCTGCTTCCCACTCTGATGCATTTTTATTTTGTATACTTCAGGCGATGAGTATTGTCCTGTCTGGCATACAACCTCATCAAAATTTGGCTGTTATTGTAAGGACATGAGATTTAGAAACTACTGTTGGAAGTTCCAGATAGAGTAAACTTAGTTACATTTTTCCTTTTATACAGAGGTATATTGAGGAAAAGATAAATGCGGAGGAGAAAACTGCTTGGGTTAATAATGCTATCACAAAAGGATTTACAGGTATGAGATCTCTAATCTACTCTAATCTGCAACATTCTGTCATTGGCATGAGTAATAAGATACAGAGACGTGATCAAGAACCAAGACATATGTTAGTGTTTTTATTTTGATACTGTAGTTGACGAGTGCAAAAGTCTTACTCAGTTCTCATTTAAACATATTTATGATTTATGCTTGGTACCATTCACTTCGTTGATGTACTTCTATTAATTGCTGCCTTGAAAAGGTTTATAGTGACCTGTCTAATTATCTTGTTTCTCTCTCAGCTCTCGAGAAACTGTTGGTGAATTCCGCTGGCAAACACGCGACTGGTGATGAAATTTACCTGGTACTACTCTAAATCTCTCTGGATTTTCTCTATGGTACTATCTTCGTAAGATTTAAGATTCAACTCGGTGATGATTCTTTTGTGACTTTAGAATACTACCCTTTATAACAAACCAGCAAGTAGATAAGTGTTAAAGGCATGAAGCATTGTTTTGCAGGCTGATCTCTTTCTAGCACCACAGATCCATGGAGCAATCAACAGATTCCAGATTAACATGGTACTTTTCCTTCTCTAAACTCTTCTTTCGGTACCCAACACTGTTTCAGGGTTAGATTTGTGCATACTATATTCCCCAATCACTGGAATCCTAGATCAGTTTTATGGTAGCACTGATACCAAGATATTCATATAGTAGTAACAAACGAAATCTTCAGTTTCTTAACTTCTCCCTCGCATCACTCGGTTTCTGTTTCTACAATTTTGTAAAACATGTTTTTCTCTTTTATAGGAACCGTACCCAACTCTTGCAAAATGCTATGAATCATACAACGAACTGCCTGTGTTTCAAAATGCACTCCCGGAAAAGCAGCCAGATGCTCCTTCCACCATCTGATTCTGTGAACCCGTAAGCTACTCTCAGCTTAATAAAACCTCAGACAACAACAACAACGATAATAATACCTTGTACTCATACATGTATCATATAATAAACCAGTTTACTTCTTAGTTCTTCTACTTGTATCATACAATAAAGGTCACAGAGTTTGAAATTTGCAAAGCTATCTTATACATTCTCAGAGGAAGCCTTTGTCTCTAAGACTCTGGACCGTCTCCTTAACCGTTTCTTCAACCGCAGTAAAAACTAACCCGAGTTTCATCAATCTCTTAGCCGCATCATTACACGACGTAAGCCCAGGTTGAGTCTCTTTATCAAACCTGTGAACAGCAAACTCAGGGAAGAGCTTGGACACAAGAGCAGCAAACTCACTGAACTGATAAATCCCATTAGTACATAAAAACCGACCAGAAGCTTCCGGTGTTTCGAATAACATCACATGACCTTTAGCCACATCCCTCACATGTACCACACCAAGCCAGTGATACTCTTGCGTCTCTGTCGAGCCTTGTAAGAGCTGTAGCAGAACAGCACAGCTTGCGTTTAGGTTCGGTTGCAGAAGCGGTCCGAGACATGTTGATGGATGAATCGTCACAATGTTGGTTCCATGCTTCTCCGAAAATTCCCAAGCTGCTTTCTCAGCTAATGTCTTCGAAATTGGATACCATTTCTAAAATCGAAATCATACACCAATTGTTACAAATATCATATAAAATCGAAAATAGTGAATTTTAACTATATTTTTTTAGGTTTTTGAAAGTATTTTTAATTATGTTAACGAACATGTAATAAGCAGACAAAACAACATAATAAGACAAGCCTACCAAAAAAAAAACAACATAATAAGACAAGAGTTAAATACTTAAACCGAAATTAACGAACCTGAATCGACTTGCAAAAATCGAGATCGGTCCACGACGACTCATCGACGGGCACTCCCTCCGGCCAATTAGGGTTAGGAACCAAGGCGGAGATAGATGACGTGATCATCACGCGTCTCACATTAAACCTTTTAGCTGCTTCCAACACATTGATCGTTCCCTTAACCGCCGGTTCAACCAGCTCCTTCTCTGGATTAACCGGTGGATCCAACGTACAAGGTGACGCCACGTGGAACACTCCCTTACATCCATCAATAGCTCTGGAGATTGCATCAGAGTCTAAGAGATCCGCTTCAAAGATCTTGATCTTAGAATCGGATCCGGGTAGTTTCAGAAGATGAGTCGGGTCGGATCCTGGGTAAATCGAAGCGTGGATATTGGTATAACCTTTCTCAATTAACGTTCGGATTATCCAAGATCCGATGAAACCATTAGCTCCGGTTACACACACTGTCTCTTTCGCCATTGTTGATCAATAAGAGCTCACTGAGAATTTATTTTCTCTCTATCGCAATTTTCAATATATGTTTAGATAAAAGAAAAAAAAACATTTTTCCAGTAAAAAAGGATCCTTTGTTTTTTTCTTACTCGGAAAAATGGATTTTTTTTGTTTTTGTTAAAGATATAATGCGTTGATAAAAAAGCGTAACGTTGACATGATATTATCCACTAGTTTTATAGACTTTTCAAATTTTGGGTGACGAATTAAAAAAAAAGAAGAAAATTTTTCAATTCTTCAGTAGTCAAATAGATGAAAACCGCCGGAGCGCCGCCGCATAGAGGTGGTTCTTCCTCCTCTTCCTCCGCCGTATACTTTAACCGGTCTTCATCATCTTGCTCTTACGATAGCTGTAGAGTTTTGGTGGTGAAGATGGGAGGAAAAAGCAAGAAGCCTAATCAAGTAATCATCAATCTTCTTCTTTTAAGGTCCACACATGATACACATTTATGTAAAGGTTTCGTCTTTGAGAACCAAAAGTCTCTCTTTAATCGAAAATAGTTGAGAATTCAAAGTGGGTTTTGTGATCAACTAATCCAACATAACATTCATTGATTTGTGAATTCTGAAAGTGCCAATCTTTTTTTTATTGGTTTTGTGATCAATTTGGTTCTTTTTATATTTCTAGTATCGGAGTTATGGATATGATGAATGTTCATTGACTGTTTTGCAACAATTGATTTGATTTTGGTTTTTGATAGCAGGATTCAGAGCCAGAACCACCGAGAATCAAATCCAATGTTAAGCATAACTTGCAGCTTCTGAAATTATGGAAGGTATGTAGTAGTGTGATCTTTTTGTTTCATTACTATGGTGTCTAAGTCTAACCATTAGTGTTCAAGAATTTGAGTAAATTCTTATCTTTGGAATTGTATGATATATATGTAGGAGTTTCAGAGCAGAGGATCTGGCATGGCTAAGCCAGCGACTAGTTACAGGAAGAAGAAAGTAGAGAAAGACGAGTTACCGGATGATAGCGAGCTCTACCGGGATCCTACAAATACGCTTTACTAGTAATTACACTCTATATTTAAGTTTCTCATTTTACTATCTTCATGTTGTCTCGAGAATGGTTTTTGAGGGTTGAAAGTTTAAGGAATGTTTGTGATTCTCGGAAAGCGGTTTTACAGCACGAACCAAGGTCTATTGGACGATGCAGTTCCAGTTTTGCTTGTTGATGGTTATAATGTGTGTGGATATTGGATGAAGCTAAAGAAACATTTCATGAAAGGAAGGCTTGATGTTGCTCGGCAGAAGTTAGTTGATGAACTTGTGTCCTTCAGTATGGTTAAAGGTACAAACTTTTGAAGAATCTACATTTGATTTCATCTATGGCTCATTTCGGCTAATGCGACAATTTGATTTGAATTTGTTGTAGAGGTTAAGGTAGTGGTTGTGTTTGATGCTCTCATGTCTGGTCTCCCTACTCACAAGGAAGACTTTGCAGGGTAATGTAAACTGGCTTTGTTCTTTCTGTGTTTAACCATTGCTTTCAACATCGTTCTTCACTTTAGAACTCAAAAAAATGTTTCTTCTTTTTTGCCAGTGTTGATGTGATTTTCTCAGGAGAAACTTGCGCTGACGCTTGGATTGAAAAGGAGGCAAGGAAAAGATCTCTTGACCCCAAAGGCAGTTCAAATAGACGGGATTTCTAGAATCATCGCTGATGTTTCTTAGTTTCTGATAAGATGCCTGATATTGACAGGTGGTTGCATTAAGAGAAGATGGATGCCCCAAGGTTTGGGTTGTAACATCTGATGTCTGTCAACAACAAGCAGCACATGGAGCGGTATTGCGCATCATATCGATGTTATAAACTCGTTATGCTCATATCTTGTTATTGATTTTGGTGACTGATTCTTGACAGGGAGCTTACATTTGGAGTAGCAAGGCACTGGTTTCTGAGGTATGATCATCAAAGCAATTGCCTTTTTTCTATTTTTGTGATTTGAGTTTCATGTGAACATCGTGAAACATCATATTGTAGATCAAATCAATGCATAAGGAGGTTGAGAGAATGATGCAAGAAACAAGGTTACATTGGATTTTTCGCGATCTTTTAGTTAAATCTGCGCTTGGAGCTAATTAACCGAAAAACTCTGGACTACTTTTAATTTACACAGGTCAACATCTTTCCAAGGGAGATTGTTGAAACACAATCTTGATTCTGAAGTCGTGGATGCTCTTAAAGATCTAAGAGACAAATTATCAGAAAACGAGACAAAGAGATGACAATAAGGCTTGGTCTCTCCATGTAACTTCTGTCCTAAGTAAGCTAGTCTGCCTTATAAAAAACAGAGGCTGCAGAGAAAACTAGAGAGATAGAGAGAGAGAGAGAGCTCAAAGGCTTTGTTAATGTTGTATTTATGTATGAATTCTTTTTGACTAATCTATAGATTCGTTTTCTTTGGTCCAAACATTTGGTTATGAGATGTTCCGAATTTTATTCTTAGCTTCATGCATAAAATCATCTTAACCTATGTTTATTATGTTACAATAATGTAAATATGTAACTTTTAGTTGAATAATGAACTAAATCGTTTGGGCTGTGTAATTATCTTTAGTTTTTCTTGTGAAATTTCAATTATAGTATTAAGTAAATAATCAGAAAATTATTTTCGACATTGGTTTAAAAATCAACCGTTTGTGAATCTGTATAAGGTTCACTTACTAATAACCCCTCATTTACATGTATATAAGACCGAAATTATGTTTAAAAAGTTAATGTCCTCAACGACTCATAAGCATGTGATCCTTTCACAGATGGATCTGCTAAGCTACTCAACACTGATGATGGTTCATCTCTCAAACCTTTCTCCAACTGAAAGAAATTTACAAAAGGTTCCAAATTTATGAGCCAAATTTATGGGACTTAGTTAAATTTTTGTTACTTTTGTCTTTTCTTTTATTTTATTTTCCACCTTTGTACATAACCAATTTTTTCGATTAATAAATTTAACATTTCAGAAAACCACAAAATAAAACAAAAAAAAAAGATGAAAAAACTCTGAAGTAAAACAAGCATAGACTTTGAGAAACTTTTTTTTTTTGGTTTTAATGTAAAGAACTTTGAGAAACTTCTAACCGAAATTTAAGCTTTTATTCTTCTTCTTGCTAGAAAATTAGTCAAAATTCAGTTTTTGCTATTCTATTAACAGACTTTCTTAAGGAAGAACATTTTTATCTCTTACATTACATTTATTTATGTATATAGTTTTTGGTTTAGTTCAAAGTGGGAGCTGAAGACCAATCAAGACCCATAGAGAACAAGAGCTTTAATAAACAAAATCTTTGACGTGAAAGAAGCACGATAGTTTCAAAGACCTATAAAAGAACAAGAGCTTGATAAAACCAAATTTTTAGAAGAAAGAGGCTCAGTTAACAACAAAATTATGATAAAAATGAAAATAAATTAAATTGATAAAAAATAAGCAAAACATAAGCAAAGCATATGAAAAAATAAAAATGATAAGAAAACAAAAATTATAGATAAAGATTAGATATTTCAAAAACGGTGGACATTGGCTGTTACAATGAGGTTTATATGATAGAAACCATGTCCGAACTACTCTGAGGCCTGAGCTAAGAGTTTTTCGCAATCGCAGGTGTTTGATTGTTACACTAAGCTGCGGAAGGAGATCGGTCAACGGCGGTGACGACTGAACGGCTCTGTTCTTTGGTCCATACTCTGTTTTCGTGTTTTTTTTTTTATATATTCAAGGAAAATGAGTGGCATACAGTGGTGAGTGAGAAGAGGGAGGGTAACAATGTTCGAGGTAGTTTAGTGTGGGGGAAGTCAAAGTCAGAAGTAAATATCAGAAGTAAATTTTTCAGAGTTTCTAATTAACACATTTCCAATTTAAGAGCACATGTATAAAAATTAAATTAAAAAATTTAAGAGCACATGTAACTCCGTTAATAAACGTTTGAAAAATCCTCAAATATACGACGTCGTTTGTCAAAACTCAAGGAGAAAACAGAGCGAATGTTACAACATTTAATGGCGTTAATCTTCGTGTGTTTGCAAACTACTTTTCTAGTGAAGTTTTTTTTTTTTTTTTTTACAGCAAAATAAAGTCATCCATTTAAGCTAAAAACGGGCGGTTTTCTACGGGAGAAAACCAGTCCGGAGTTGAGGAGTTTACATGGGAAAAAAATAGAATCACGTGCCCTTGCCTTCTTAGCGAGACAATCGGCACGAACATTATTTACACATGGAATAAAATCTAAGAAAAAACGAGGGAAACCAAGTTTTAAAGCAATGAAATCTTCTAACTCCGAAGCAAAAGCTGGCCACTCATCAGGAGTGTCCAATAGCTGGGTCAGCTCCTTGCAATCTATCTCAAAGGCAATATTAAAAATAGATAATGATGTGAGGGATCTCATTGCCCAGAGAAGCGCTTCAAACTCTGTGTGAAGTGGGGATAAACATTGTCGAAAACACTTGAGCCCAAGATTAATAAGCTGAGAGTCTGAGATAAGAATCCATCCAATGCCGCATAAAGTGCCTTCGTCTGTCCAAGAACCATCAACCTGGCAAGTCAAAAGATCTGAAACAGTGGATCGCGAACCTGGGTCTATAAGGGGCGGTTGAGAATCAATGATCGACTCTCTGGCTCTTGCAATGCGAAAAGACTCTGTTTCTTTGCAGGCAAGCTGAAGCGTATCTGCAGGGTGAACTTCTGAGTTCTCAAAAACTTTTGAGTTTCGTGCTTTCCAGATGAACCACAAAATCGATGGAAAGTCTCTGATAGCTTCTTCCCTTACTCCAAGCTCCTTTGCTCTCCAGTAAAAATGGTCTAAGTTTGCGAAAATCGAGGGAGCAGGAAAGACTCCTTGAGTCAGAGGAATCTTGGAGAGAGACCTAACCTGGTGAGCTAGAGGGCATTCAAATAACACGTGGTTGATAGTCTCATCAGACATCTTAGTTTCTGATAAGATGCCTGATATTGATAGGTGGTTGCATTGAGAGAAGATGGATGCCCCAAGGTTTGGGTTGTAACATCTGATGTTTGTCAACAACAAGCAGCTCATGGAGCGATATTGCCCATCATATTGATGTTATAAAATCGTGATTTTGATTTTGGTGACTAATTCTTGACAGGGAGCTTATATTTGGAGTAGCAAGGCACTAGTTTCTGAGGTAAGATTAAACCAAAGCCATTGCCTTTTTCTATTTTTGAGATTTGAGTTTCATGTGATCTTGTGAAACATCATATTGTAGATCAAATCAATGCACAAGGAAGTTGAGAGAATGATGCAAGAAACAAGGTTACATTGGATTTTTCGCGTTTTTAGTTCTGCGGTTGGTGGGGTGTTTGAAATCTGCGTTTGGAGCTAACCGAAAAACTCTGGACTACTTTTTCTCACATTGGTCAACATCTTTCCAAGGGAGATTGCTGAAACACAATCTTGATTCTGAAGTCGTGGATGCTCTTAAAGATCTAAGAGACAAATTATCAGAAAACGAAACAAAGAGATGACAACAAGGCTTGGTCTCTCCATGTAACTTCTGTCCTAAGTAAGCTAATCTGACAAATAAAAAACAGAGGCTGCAGAGGAAACTAGAGAGAGAGAGAGAGAGAGAGCTCAAAGGCTTTGCTAATGTTGTATTTGTGTCTGAATTCTTTTTGACTAATCTATAGATTCGTTTTCTTTGCTCCAAACATTTGGTTGTGAGATGTTCCGAATTTTATTCTTAGCTTCATGCATAAAAATCATCTTAAATTATGTTTATTATGTTACAATATTGTAATTATGTACCTTTTAGTTGAATAATGAACCAAATCGTTTGGTCGGTGTAATCATCTTTAGTTTTTCTTGTAAAATTTCAATTATAGTATAAGTAAATAATCCGAAAATTATTTTCGACATTGGTCTAAAAATCAACCGTTTGTGAATCTGTATAAGGTTCACTTACTAATAACCCCTCATTTACATGTATATAAGACCGAAATTATGTTTAACATCTAATGTCCTCAACGACTCATAAGCATGTGATCCTTTCACAGATGGATCTGCTAAGCTACTCAACACTGATGATGGTTCATTTCTCAAACCTTTCTCCAACTGAAAGAAATTTACAAAAGGTTCCAAATTTATGAGCCAAATTTATGGGATTTTGCTAGTTAAATTTTTGTTACTTTTGTCTTTTATTTTATTTTATTTTCCACCTTTGTACATAACCGATTTTTTCGATTAATAAATTTAACATTCCAGAAAACCACAAAATAAAACAAACAAAAAAAATGAAAAAACTCTGAAGTAAAACAAGCATAGACTTTGAGAAACTTTTTTTTTTTGTTTTAATGTGAAGAACTTTGAGAAACTTCTAACCGAAATTTAAGCTTTTTTTCTTCTTCTTGCTAGAAAATTAGTCAAAATTCAGTTTTTGCTATTCTATTAACAGACTTTCTCAAGGAACAACATTTTTTTTTCTTACACTACATTTATTTATGTATATAGTTTTTGGTTTAGTTCAAAGTGGGAGCTGAAGACCAATCAAGACCCATAGAGAACAAGAGCTTTAATAAACAAAATCTTTGACGTGAAAGAAGCATGATAGTTTCAAAGACCTATAAAAGAACAAGAGCTTGATAAAACCAAATTTTTAGAAGAAAGTGGCTCAGTTAACAACAAAATTATGACAAAAAAGAAAATAAATTAAATTGATAAAAAATAAGCAAAACATAAGCAAAGCATATGAAAAAATAAAAATGATAAGAAAACAAAAATTATAGATAAAGATTAGATATTTCAAAAAGGTGGACATTGGCTGTTACAATGAGGTTTATATGATAGAAACCATGTCCGAACTACTCTGAGGCCTGAGCTAAGAGTTTTTCGCAATCGTAGGTTGTTTGATTATTACACTAAGCTGCGGAAGGAGATCGGTCAACGGCGGTGACGACTGAACGGCTCTGTTTTTTGGTCCATACTCTGTTTTTCAAAAAAAAAAAAAAAAAAAGAAGAGTGGCATAGAGTGAGAAGAGGGAGGGTAACAATGTTCGAGGTAGTTTAGTGTGGGGGAAGTCAAAGTCAGAAGTAAATATCAGAAGTAAAAATTTCAGAGTTTCTAATTAACACATTTCCAATTTAAGAGCACATGTATAAAAATTAAATTAAAAAATTTAATAGCACATGTAACTCCGTTAATAAACGTTTGAAAAATCCGTTAAATATACGACGTCGTTTGTCAAAACTCAAGGAGAAAGCAGAGCGAATGTTACAACATTTAATGGCGTTAATCTTCGTGTGTTTCCCTGAAAGCGGTTTTACAGCACGAACCAAGGTCTATTGGACGATGCAGTTCCTGTTTTGTTTGTTGATGGTTATAATGTGTGTGGATATTGGATGAAGTTTAAATAAACATTTCATGAAAGGAAGGCTTGACGTTGCTCGGCAGAAGTTAGTTGATGTTCTAAATATACCAAATGTTCTAAATAAACTAAAGATTACAACGGTTCATAAAACAAAACTAAAAGTTGTAATAATTTGTCAAATAAATCAAATGTTATAACGGTTCAATCAAACGGTTACAATTTAATTTAAATACATATTAGAAACTAAAATTGAAATAATAGTTTATAAAAAATTACACTGAAATACGTGACTGTAGAAAATTAAATGTTATGCCCATTTATTAAATAAACCAAGAATTGTATTTGTTCGTGAAATAAACTAAATGTTGCAATGGTTCAACTAAACAGTTGCAACCGTTTACGAAATATTATGATAAAAAAACATAACCGTAGAAGATATTTTAAAAAATGCAATCGGATCGCAACTTTCTAAAACATTCAACCGTAAAATATATATTTTTAGTTTAAAAAAATTAAATGTTTTAACGATTTATAGAATAAATCAAAAATTACAATTGTTCATTAAATAAAGTAAATGTTGCAATGGTTCAACTAAACAATCACAATTGTTTATGAGTTGTTACGATAAAAAGATGCAACCGTAGAAAATATTTATTTAGATTGCAACTTTTTGAAAAAACAACCGTAAAATATTTATTTTAGTTAAAAAGCCAAAATTTAAATATATATAATATGAGACGTAACTTTAAATGAATAGATGCAACTATGAAGATACAACCGTAAACTGAAAAGATACGACTGTAATTGAACAAATATAATTGTAAAAAACCGTAATAATGTTAACGAAGAGATGCGATAAAAAGATACAACCGTAAAAAAATAACCATAAATATTTCAAAGAAAAGATACAATAAAAAGACATAACCGAAAAAAATAACCGTAAAATTTAAACGAAAGGTTGCGATAAAAAGACGCAACCGTTCAGAGGTGCAAATGGCATTTATTGAGATTGCAATTATATATAGATTTATGTATAGTTTTTGGTTTAGTTTAATTATTTTTATGAAAAAATTGAAATAAATACTTCGAAGTGGGAGCTAAAGACCAATCAAGACCCATAGAGAACAAGAGCTTTGTTAAACAAAATCTTTGACCTGAAAGAAGCACGATAGTTTCAAAGACCTATAAAAGAACAAGAGCTTGACAAAACCAAATTTCTAGAAGCAATAAGCTTAGAACAACAAAATTATGACAAAAAGAAAATAAATTAAATTGATAAAAAATAAGTAAAACATAAGCAAAACATATGAAAAAATAAAAATGATAAGAAAACAAAAATTGTAGATAAAGATTAGATATTTCAAAAACGGTGGACATCGGCTGATGCAATGAGATTCATATGATAGAAACAATGTCCGAACTACTCTGAGGCATGAGCTAAGAGTTTTTCGCAATCGCAGGTTGTTTGAATGTTACACTAAGCGGCGGAAGGAGATTGGTCCGCCATTCTTGTCAGCCATCGTCTCTTCTCTGTTTATCTCTGTGTTTCCGATTTCCGATTTCAGATTTCTCTGTGATTTTAACTATGTTTGTCGGTTTGTGCTTTAATATGGAATTCAATGTCCGAACTACTCTGAAGCCTGAGCTAATAAAATAATCTAATCGAATAATAAAATTGTGTAATAATAATATTTGAGAATGTTATTTGGAAATTAGAATAGTAATGGTAGATTGAAGAGTTTTTGAATTAAAAATAAGAATGATTTTGTTTTAAAAAAATAAATGTGTTTTAAATTAGAATAATTTTTATGATTTCTTAATTTACTATTTTAGAAAAATTAACAATAAGAATACTATATAGAATCATAATATACGTCAAATTATATATGTGAAAAGAGAATTTTATATTTTCTAAATTATATTTTATATGTGAAAAGGAAATTTTTTTTGTTAAAATCCGATCTTTGTGGGTAGGAATGAGTTTATATGAGATTTGTTGTCTATAAAAAAATTTTACATGCACCAAACATGGTCAGAGAAATCTTATGACAAAACATTTCTGCAGATTTTCTGATGTTCACTTTAATAATACAACTTATAAAAATTAATTGAGTAATCAAAGATAGGAAGGAGAAAAGATATATGATCGATCTTGAGAACTAATTCATAAAAGATATCGAGTGAATCATAGAAGATAACTAGAAAAATTATAGTGAAAAGTGTCATAATATACGTCAAATTATATATGTGAAAAGAGAATTTTATATTTTTTAAACAGTCAAGATAAAGTAAATTTTTTTTGTTAAAATCCGATCTTTGTGGATAGGAATGAGTTTATATGAGATTTGTTGTCTATAAAACAATTTTACATGCACCAAACATGGTCAGAGAAATCTTATGACAAAACATTTCTGCAGATTTTCTGATGTTCACTTTAATAATACAACTTATAAAAATTAATTGAGTAATCAAAGATAGGAAGGAGAAAAGATATACGATCGATCTTGAGAACTAATTCATAAAAGATATCGAGTGAATCATAGAAGATAACTAGAAAAATTGTAGTGAAAAGTGTGAAATTTTTTTTACTACTTTGGAAAAATAATGCACATGAATAAAATAAAATTTCTATAAAATTAAAATGATTAGATTTATACTCAAAAATTCGTATTGATAAATATTTTAAACTAAAATCCCGCGCAACATGGTTCTTTAAAGATGAATCTATGGCTATAATTCAAGCTGAACTTGGATGCCTAC